GAAAACCTCGTCAACTCATCTTAATCACTGCATATTCACGTACATAGAATAATACATACCTGACCCAGTTATTTTGCAAAGTCGCTTACATTAGAGTGCCATCCATCCCTTAGGTGGTGGTAGTACTCGAGATATAAGCTCGAGTAATGGTACCATAGTTCAAGTTGCGCACACGCTCGCGCTCCGTACGTACCGGTGAGTCTTATGTGTTCCAAATTAAAACAAATCTAAATTTATTTTCTGCAAGTGGTTTGGTTTAGTGTTTTAAAATTAAATATAAGTTTTGAAATGAGTGAAATTAGTGCATAAATTATAATAGAATGTTTTTAATTAAATTGCTAATTTAAATTAAATTTACTATATTTGGGAATAATAAATTAATACTTGTGACACAAGTTATGAAAAAATATAAATCGACGTATTTAAGCTTCTTGGTAAAATTTTCCGCCCGCCCTAGCCAGTGCACGATTTTTTGAAAATACTTCAAGGTTGCAAGGTTTTCTAATTTTCAATGTGTGAAATGTAATTTATACATATACATATATTATATACTTAATATATAAAAATTTATTAATTTACACTATTCTATCTGTGTAGCTTTGCTATTCGAACCACGATTATTTACACTTTTTGGCAAATTTAGGTTTTTATTAGGATTTCCTTACCATTTTTTACATAAAATGTATAAGATTATTATTGTCGTAATAACTTACAATCATTTATACATCTCGACATATATTTACTTTAATGTGTACTTTATTATGCGCTCTTCCCATCTACGTCAAAGTCAGACGTAGGACAGTAACAGAGTAATGTCTAAAACTCTCGTAACACTCGCCTGAATATTATAAAATTATAAGTGAAATTAAGAACCTCATCTAACTGCCTGTACCTATTCCGTTTATAATTTTATATAAAAAATATAACAACAATAATATTCGTAGCATTTATAATAACATTATAAAAAATAATGTAAGCGTATCTAGTAATGAAAATAAAATAAAAAAAATGAAATTTTCCGATAAAGGCAAAATACACTTGATATGCTCAAGAAAAAGGTAAAACAATACTAAGTAAAACAGCAGTATGAGTGAATCGATGAGAAACATGTCTATTGTGCTTTGTATTTTTTCGTTTACTAGTAAGATAAATTCTCATTTCAACCTCAAATATTAATTGTTATTGGACACTCTTGCGTTCCTTTGTTTACTTTGTACCTCTACTGTATGTTTTACATCTATTTTTAGCTTTTACAGCTGTGTCAAACTTATGATTTATAATATAATAATAATAATTGTTTTATTTGGAACCACAAAGGAACCATTTTTTGTTAGTACACACATTAGATACTACAACTTATATCCACTAGGGTTAGTAACAAATACAAATACAAACAAGGAGTGATATTTAGTGAGTCATGTACTTACGAGGCATTTCATGCGAGCAATGATTCCGCATGAGATGCCTCAGAACAGCATCTCTCAGGCTTAAATTCTCGGCTCTCAATTTATGCAAGAAACTTTTACAGTATTGTGAGAATCTATTACAATTATGAAAACCATTTACCTTTAGCTTTTCTGTGGTATCGTATTTCTCAAACGTATTGGGCCAATTTTACCTAACATTTTAAGATTACATATGAATTAATATGAATTGTCTCCGTGGAAAAAAAAAGTTTTCTGTAGGATTTTTTTTGAGAGGGTTGTTGTCTGTTTTTTTTAATCATATTTAGTTTACATTTTTTTTTCTTTTTTACGTGTAATAATATCTATACTGTTATTATAAAAGTTATTATTTATTCCAGATTTAGATTAGGATAACTGAGAGGCACCAACAACATGCTGCGTTTGTCAACGTTTTGCTGTAAGTAATTAATTTTAAGCTTTAAGCGGAATAAGCCAAAAAAGACTAAGGGAATCTGCCCAGTACTTTTTACTATTATTTATAGACAAGGGGCGATTTTCCTTATCCTGATATTTTATTTCTAATAAGCTATATAAAATCTCTTAGCTGTAAGAAATCTCTTAGCTATAAGAAATATGGTAAAACCTTTTACACATAAACATTACAATTAAATATCATATTAATTGATAGCGTCAAAAGCTTCACTAGCAGAAACATAGTAACGTAAAAATTATTTTGAAATTTATAATGAAAAAAATCAAGTATTTTGGAATAACAGATAATTTAGTTAATAATAATAATAATTGTCTTAAACGCATCTTTGAAAGTTTCTTATATACCTACAATAAAATCCTGAGTCGGATCTGTACAGTAAATATTTTTTAGAAAATCTTATTGAAATAGTCATTATTATCGATACAGAAACCGAATCTAAAGTTTTTATAATTTTTTTCTGTCTGTGACCGCATCACGAGAAAACCACTGGACAGATTTTGATGAAAAATCTATACTAAACATCAAAAGTAGAGACGTACCCAAGCGGAGCCAGGGTGAGTCGCTAGTAACATAATATAGTTATTATTTAAAAAAAATCTAAAGAGATCAATTAAAAAAGGAAGAATATTAAAAAAGCGAATAAGTAGGTAATCAACTCATCTTGTAATGCATTGTACCACTTAGCTGTAACCATGAACTAATTTCACTTACTAATTTATTGTGATTTTATCTAAATTAGTCAAAAATGTTTGCAAATTGACTTTTGTATACAGTTATCGCGTCATCTAAACTGCACTTTGTACGATCGCTAATAATCTCTTAAGCACTTAGTTCTGCAGCATCTTAGCGCTCCGGCTAATTTAAAATTTCACAATAATTTACTTGTGTTTTAACTTAATTTTTTATTGACCGATTTTAAATTTAGGGTATACTAGCGACTCACCCTCGCTTCGCTCGGGTTCGTCCCTAGGTACGTTTTAGATTAAAATGGATATAGTATGTTATCCTTAAGAGATAGACATATGCCATCGTGGACTTTTCTGTAGACCTATATAAGATACACAATTCCAACATACATTATTTTGTTATATCTCAAAGGGTATAGGCAGCGTTTTCGTTGAAAGCTCTCAGAGGTCTTACTTTTTCCGACACCTCCAATAAATATTGTTATATTTTAGCCAATGTATACAAAAACTTAACAAATTATAAACTAAAACCTTCCTCTTGAATCACTCTATCTATTAAAAAAACCGCATTAAAATCCGTTGCGTAGTTTTAAAGATTTCAGCATACATAGGTATATAGGGACAGAGAAAGCGACTTTGTTTTATACTATGTAGTGATTACATTAAATTGCATACCCCGCGATATTTTCGCCAATTGTAAACCGATATACTTACCATATATGATTATAATTGGGTAGACAACAATCAAAATGGAAGGGTGGAAATAGTGCCTTGTTGTCCTTTTCTAGTTAAAAATTCATAAGGAGGTATAATGTGATGTTCTCCTAGCCGAATCCGGCTAGGCCAATCTCATTGAGATTAGCCAACTGCACAGGAGATATTATAGTGCTCAAGTGTACGCGCAGACACAGGTGCACACTCTATTCCTATCACTCTCATACTCCGGTGGGACGACCACTCGACACGACCGGTGAGAGTTAAGGCGCAGGACCGATGGCTTTACGTGCTCTCCGAGGCACGGGGGCGAAACACCGCCAACTTACCAACTCCGGGCTGTTACTGAGACTTACTATACAGAAAGACTCAATAACTAAACATGGCCCGACCCGGGACTCGAACCCAGGACCTCCGGGTGTGCAGCCGTACATGCTAGCCACTACACCACCGAGGTGTAATTGCAGATACTTTAAAAGACAACCAAGTAATTTTTCGAAATATCTCCAATGTGCAAATTTGCTAAATTCACATTTTGATAATAATTTTACAACGTAATTTTGATTTTTCTCTTTATCTATCATTGCTTCAATTAGACGTTCTTAATTCTTATCCTCCACTTATTATTTTTATCATAAATTAATTAAGGTTAGAACCAAAAATAATTTAGTATAAGCTATTTTAAACCTAAAATGTATACTTACATGTTATTATGTTCAATAAAAATCTTAAAAATAAAAATCTTTAAAAAAATAATAATGAACATTATCGCCTAAAATACCTACCTAGTGCATTCACTCTAACGAGTAAATCTTAAAAGTAGAGACCGAAATTTAAAAATACCTTTAGATAATTATATACATATACATATGTACAATGTACATACATATGCGTGAATGTATTTAATGATTATGGCTATATATCCAATCAGTATTTATGCATATTATAACTATTATATATTAATACAAATAAATAATAGTAACACAGAGGAATGCACACAGAGCTAGGACATTTAAAGCAATACTTAATGCGTACAACATTAGTACTTGCCACTGAGTACTTGCACTTAGCAAACAACCGTTGCCTACTTTAGTAACAGCGGCATTCAGTCTTTTTGAAAATAAGCGGACTCAAATAATACGCGTATTTAGCTATTGAATGGCTTGTAAACCTTTTTGAATATTTCAAAGTGATCAATTGTAGTTTCGACAATGAAACAGATATATGATATTAAGTACTTTTTTATTTATATTTTACTAGCGACTCATCCTCGATGATATATAACTTATAGCCTTCCTCAATAAACCAGCTGTCCAACGCTAAAACAGTTTTGTTAATTGCATTTATAGTTCCTGAGATTAGCGCGTTCAACCAAACAAACAAATAAACGCTGCATATTTATAATATTAGTATAGATGTTGAAAGTTACTTTATTTTTCGATGGATAAATATTTAACTTAAAATAATTATTTTTTAGCTTTTAATAAAATATTAAAATTTACATTATAAATTATACCTACCTAAGTTTTAGGGTCAAAGTGTAATTTTCGATGACCCTTCAAAATACAATCTTGATTAGCTCTAATAATTATATGTTTGTTAGAGACGAGCACGTTCAATCTAGCAACAGGTTACTATGATATTATCTATATGCGAAACATAAATAACAAATAATCAAAATTTTCCATAAATTTTAACCATATGGACATATTGGTTATTGCAGATGGTATAAATATTGTTGAAATTATTTTATAAACGAAGTAATTATTTATGAACCGAAATAAAAAAATATGATTTTATTTTGTGACCATACAATACAAGTCAAATACGTCTCTACATTCAAAGATTTCACAATGTTCAAATCAGATGTCTGTATCTAAAATCAAAATATTTTTAATTTATAGTAAAAATGTATATTAACACTTATAACTCGAAAACTGTTGGACTGATTTTTATGATCTCTGTTTGGTTGGACTTGTCTTCACCCCAAATAGCAGAGTAACTATTAAAACATCGGAAAAATTCATGAAAAAAATGAAAAATATATATATATATATATATTCCATACTAAGCGTCAAAACGTACCTAGGAATGAACCTGAGCGAAACGAGGGTGAGTCGTTAGTACATATATAAGACAAAGTCGGGTTAGTTACACCACTTATAACTCAAGAACGGCTGGACCGATTTTATAATTTTTCATTTGTTGGATTTATTTCGTTGTATATTGTATAAAAACAACAGAAAATATCACGAAAAAAATATTACATGACTAACGCTGGTTAATATTTATATATCTAATTTAAAAAAAAGTACCCGTGTCGCTAGTTTATAATAAAGCAACAGCAAATAGTAAAGGTCATCTTTAGTCTGGCGCGTTTTGAAAATGAATAACAAGCAGCACTCTCTACTCTACAACTCGGTATAATAGTTGAATGATTTTTTTCACAACTTGAAATATGCCAGTCTATTTTCCTGGTTTTCCAGAACATTATTATATACCGCGAGCTCAAAGCACGAATCCACGTGAGAAACGATTATTTTCATCCTTTACTATATTGCCACTTGTCACTATTAAGTATCTTACTTGACTCATATTATCGCTTTTGAAGTATACACAATAAAGAGAACAAACATTTTTATATTCCCATCAACTATAGATATTAGAAACCTATACACCATATACGCCTATTCAACGCTCTATATAACCTTAAGTGCCTTATTTTCAAAGTACCAGTAACCAGATACTATACATACTTAGCTCACTCTACACGGGATACAATTTAAATAGTCATTACAAATATTATAATTCGTATGAAAGCTCAAATGGTTCTTAGCTTTCAAATGAATGTTACATTTATAACAAGAAATTAGTTTAAGCACTAATTTTCTGAATATATGTATTACTATCGGCTCACCATTAAATCCATCCCACGGGAACCGTACATTTTTCCGGGGTAAAAAGTAACCTATGTGCTGTTCCACACTGTGCCAAAAATTCAGATCCGTTCAGCCGTTCTGGCGTGATTGAGTAACAAATATCCAAACATCCAGATGGATGTTTGGATAAACATGACAGAAGTTTAGATAAACTTTCACATTTATAATATTACTAAGATGTAATGTTAATCTGATAAACATTCAGTACATAAACTAGACTAGACTAGATATATTTTTAAAAATAATAACTCAATCAATACAATCATTTAAAGACTAAATACGTAATTCTAAGGAATAGATATATAAGACAAAAATTTGCAGCCAAGGCTTAGCAATTCAATAAACATGCTTGCTTCATTATATATACTCGTAATACCAGCTATTACCATACCAAACTTCAAAATCCACCCAGTAATTTTCTCGTGATGCGGTTCCAGGCAAACGGATAAATAAAACTTTTCAAAACTATAGATTCGGCCTCTGTATAGATAATAAAGAATATTTCAATAAATTTACCCACACAAAATATTTAATGTAATTTAGCTCAATTATAATTATGTTATATATCTAATGTAATTAGGCCAATATAGTTTAACAGTTCTATAATTTAGAACGATTCTATAATTTAGAATAAAAAAAATGTTTAAGTTCTGTTATTATAAAGATGTATCATGTATCTCAACATTTTAATTAAAATAAATCTAGGGAATATATAATAATTGATAATATTTTTGATAACATTATTGTAAATTGCAATATAAACGTCAAGTACTGGGCAGTTTCCGAGGGACGTTCATTACGATTACGACAATTTTCCCATTACGCTTGCGCAAGCATCGAAGCTGGCCGGTCCCACGCGATGTCATCTGCAGCCTATTGTCCCAAGGGGAAGAAATTAGATAAAAAACGTTAATAAATACTAAGCTAATTTGTCTCATGTCGCAATTCGCTTAAGTATTTTTAAACAACTTCAATTGACCTCAAACGGAGCCTTGAAAATACATATATGCTTATTCAACTCCCTAGCTTTAAGTTGTTGTTGTTTTTTTTTAAATATTAACTTATGAACAAAATCACATCTTTCTCACTATCAATTTGATAAAATGTTATAATATAATAGTAAAAGTACTTTCTGTCAAATTTCAGTGTTACTGGCAGTAGCGGTTGCGCAAAGTGGGTATGAGTACAATAAACCTGGTAGACCTTTTGGCTCCGTAACACCGACTACGCCTGGTTACCAACCGAGTCAAACAAGCGGTTATCCTGGCTCACCTACTCCTTCTCCTTACCCAAGTGGTCCGCAAAATGGTGAATATCCTGGAACGGGGTCAGGTTCGACGCCTAGGTACCCGTCAGGATCATCTAACTATCCTAATAATGACCAAGACTATAACTATCCAGAACAGCAAAACAGACCAGACTACCAAAGTGGGACTCCAGGACGTCCTGGATTTGGACCAAGTGCACCCGGTTACAGACCTGGATCATCTGACACATCCGGATTCAGACCTGGATCTCAAACTGGCCCAAGCTTTAGTCCTGGATCTCCTGGCGGACCTAGTTTTGGTGTAGATGATACAGGTGCATACGAAGGCGGCGATTTTTCTGCTATTCCTGGTGAACCTGATATAGATTATCCTATACTCTCAGTAGTTCCTCAGACATCTTTTAGCTGCGAAGCCCAAGCTTATCCTGGGTATTACGCCGATGTTGAAACGCGCTGTCAAGTTTTCCATGTTTGCGCAAACAATATGACTTATGACTTTTTATGTCCTAATGGAACTATTTTTTCACAAGAATTTTTTGTATGCGTATGGTGGAACCAATTTGACTGTAATTCTGCGCCAAGTTATTTTGAACTAAATGCAAATCTTTATGATTATTCTATTACTGGATCCCAATATCCTCAACACGGTGGAATACCTCAAGGCTCTTACCCTGGTAGTAATGGACCTCAAGGACCATCATCTAATTATCCTGGTACTACAAGCCCTCAAGGGCCATCGTCAGGCTATCCAGGTAGCTCAGGACCATCTACTGGCTTCCCAGGAGATAATGGACCCTATAGACCATCCACTGGTTACCCAGGCAGCACTGGACCTCAAAGACCATCTTCTGGTTATCCTGGTAGCACTGGAGGTCAAGGCCCATCAGCTGGATACCCAGGAAGTACTGGACCGCAAGGCCCTGTTACTAGTTATCCTGGAAGTACAAGACCACAAGGACCATCTAGTGGCTATCCAGGTAGCTCAGGACCTCAAGGCACATCTCCTGCATATCCAGGAAGTACAGGACCACAAGGACCATCAACTGGATATCCTGGATCACAAGGCCCTAGTTATCCCGGAAGTAGTTCACTACAACCAGGATATTCCGGACAACAGGGATCTGGAACGTATCCAGGTTATCCATCAGGCCCAAGTTCATCAGGAACTTACCCAGGATCACAAGGTACAACAAGTTACCCTGGTACCAGGCCGGGAAGTGGCCAAGGATATCCATCAGGTAAACCTTCCGGGCCTAGCTTTCCAACTGGTACTACAAGACCAAGCGACGGCAAATATCCAAGCTCTCAACCTAACAGAGAGTACCTCCCACCTAGACCCTGATCGATGCTTCCACGTAAACTATTGAAAGACTTAGAAACTAACATAAAGGCGTTAGTTTTAAGAAAATATCATGCTGCCAGAAAATACTTAGCTATACTTATATTTTGCTGATATCAAAAAACGTTGACGAACAATATTGTTGGTGCTGATATATTCAGCTAGAATTTAATTATATGACTAATATTTAATTTCAGAATAAATATAATGTATATTTCAAAATACATAAAGAACATAATATACATACAATACTATGACTACAGACATACAAAATTGAAAACGTAATATTATTTTATATGTAATGCTACAGTGAAAGTTACCATACGTGTTCTTAAAGTACAAAAAATTATATGATTTCTTAGAAGCATCATTTATTAGAATAATTAACATTTAGGTATTATGTAAAGTATTATAAAGCATTTCTTTTTGTAAATAAAACAAAGTAAATAAACATTCTTTGAGCAATATAATTTCTTTTATTTATATTATTATTTAAAGTTTATTCATTTTCTACTTTACGAGCTTTGCGACGATTCATATCAGCTATCTTGCTACTAAATCGCCACGAATTTCTCATCATTAAATTTTCAATATTTGTCATGTCTGTACAGTGCAGAGGTAAATTGTTTCCATCAATAACAATCTTTATAAGGCCTCTATGATTGGGCATGCTTATACTATTTTGATACAATATTACTTTGTGTATTTTTTTAATTGATATGTAGGATAAGTCATTGTAAGCCAAATTCAAATAAGCAAGAGTCATATTTCCGAGAGAGTAAACATAGTTATCTACAATTTTTATGCTCTCTGGATGAAAAGGATTCTCATAAGGTCCTAAAATTTCTGCAGTCATCATCTCTGCCTTTGTTTTAAAAAAGTCTTCAGTTGCACTTGCTGTACTAGGCCTTTCTTTATCTTTCTTGGCACTGCTTTTACTTCTAAGTGTTGTAGTTGACGTTTTGCGTCTTTTAACTGAAGATTTACGACTAATTTGACTGATTTCATCAAATGAACTATTTCGACACTCAGCTAAATATTTTGCATATAAAGATTCCTTACATTTAAAATACTCAATGCGTCTTTGTCGCATATTTAATATTTCATCATAGCTCAAAGAGAATTCTATTAACACGTCTAAAATGTATCCGGCACCGTCATCAGTAATGTGGTTGTCAGCTAAATTTAAATACCGCAAATGTCTATTAGTTCTCAGGGCATAAGCTATATCTTTCGCTCCCTCATCTGTTACGTGGTTGGACGATAGATTTAAAAGCAATAAATTCTGTCCAGAAGCTGTGTAACATAATTTCGAAGCAATCAATTTACAAGTATCGTCGTGTATGTTGCATCTGCATAAAGATAGATTTTGAAGGTTCGTACCTTCTAAAAGCTTTGAATAATCAGCTCCACGCAAAGGGGATCCATCAAGACATAAATCAGTGATGGTTGATGCTTTTAGGATTTTACTTAACTCATATATGGTGTATAAATCTATATGTGACTTCGTTATAGTAAACTTTGTTAAGTTTCTGTAATGCGGTACTAATAAACCAATAATTATCAGCAGGATTCTAGGTATTACCTTGGCTTGGCATATACATATTTCTGTCAAAGTATTGAAATGGTCATATATCATTGTGATTGTTATAGAATTTGGAGGTAAAGAGGTCGTGGAAATCAAAGACGGAATTTCATCAGATATTACGGTATCGGCAATATTGGATGCCTGTGATTTAATTTGAGCATCTACGTCCGTACGCTTATGTTTAGCTTTACTTTCTGGTTGCTTTAAGGACTTGTAGTACTCGTCTAAAAAAATAATGAAATAAAAAGAAATGAAAATAAAAATAGAACTTCAAAATATATACATAAATATTGATTTTCTATTGGCATGGGGTTTTTCGGTTCACCAGGAAGACAAAAATGGTTTAAATAAACTTCAATAGGTACATGGCGTTACAACTTACAATTATTATTGATATTGTACAATAAATAATAAAAAAATTAACTCAAATATAATACATAAGGAAAATGAAATAAAGCAATCTTAAATTAACTTCCGTAACTGTACGTAATTACAACATCATCTATACTGTTAGAAAATAGTAATTTAATAAATCTGGCCAATTTGGAAAAACAAAAACGTATTTTTAAAACTATTTAAAATATTTATAAAAGTACAAAATATTGACCTTCTTTAGTTTCCTTCCTTATTAACACTGAGTAAGGGCAGTTAAACTTAACACAAGCAACAAGTAATATATTATCTAAGCTACAAACATCAACTTTTGGTTCCACAAAACCTTTTGTAGATCTCAAAGAACGAGTAGATCTTATAGAACGCACGCTTTTAGTTGCTTTTAATGGCTTCATTTTCAATAAAAAAAAAATTGTTTAAATATAAAATAAAGATATATAGGAAATTGTGAAAAATAAATTAATACAAATCAACAATTTATAATGTTAGCAAAAATGACAATCCAACAAAAGGATTGTTATTAAAAAAGAATCTATTAAACTGTGACTTTATTGACTAAAGATTAAAAACCTATAAAAATAATAAGTAGGTTTACTATCTATATGTAGTACATAACTTTATTTACCCAGGAGTTCGCTAAGAAAATCAAATGATACGGTTCAAACTCTGAGCCTCGCACGTGGGCTTTTTTTATATGCGATTTTTTTTCAAAAGGAAAAAAGATGAGAAAAGGTCCTATCTGAAAGAACCCAAATAGTTTTTGAAAAATATCTGAAACCGCCAATCTGCATTTGGCCGTCGACTATTCACTATTGTCTGAACCCCGTCATGCCTGTAGCCAGCCCTGGATTTACACTAGGGACACTCGGGGTTAGTGCGTGCGGCGGCAAATTTTTAGAAGCGGCAAAATTCAGAGGGTGGGAAAAAATTTTCTTCACGATATCGAAAATGCTTTTTTTATTTTACAAAAAATAAAAATAAAAAAGATTAACTAGTAGGTACATTTTTCGGAAAATTGATATCATTTATTAATTATTTCTTTGCATTTAAAAAAAAATTATATAAAATTAACTTTCAACATTATATTCAAAATTTCGATAATAGGCCGGCATTTTTTACTATGCCCAGCGGTGGCGCTAAGGTTAAATCCGGCACTACTCCCATAAGAATTTGCCCAAATATGGTCACCATGCCCAAGTATGACTATAAAAATATGGAAAAAATAGTTATGGAATAGTGCAGCCTCTATTCCATAACTATTTTGAATGGACTAGGAGGTCTAACAACCTCTTTCACCGAATCTATATCAGACGATGACTTATTATCGTTGTTTTTGTTACTTATATACATATTTACGCAACTTTAATATTCAATAGAAGCATATATAATATTATTTAACTTTATAGACCAATCGGAATCCGCTTACTTTTAAAAGATTTTTTTATTGAAAACCTGAAGTTTTATGATTTTAAAATGTTAGCAGGTAGGTATATAAGGAAGAAAAATTCGTAAAATGCCCCCGATGCCCAGCTACCCCCGAGAAATGGGGGGACACAAAGCGTTGAAAAATAGTTATTTCAATTTCCGGTTTACTGTGACATTCTATCGAAAAATGTTTTCTATGATAAATATGATTCACTTTGGCAGTATTTTTGGGGCAATTTAAAAGGTTTTTTTTTGAGTGGACATCTTATAAAATCAGTCAGTCATTCCGGACTTAAAAATAAACACCGTAAATTCATAATGACTTTTTTAATATTCTATTTTAATATGAAGTTTACAATACACTCTTAGGTGAAAGCTTTTGGTGCGAATACTTTCGACTTTTTATTAAAGTACATCCTGTACTTTGTTTTAAACGATAAAATTCTATATTTTTAGATATAGCTAATTCTAAAAGGTCTTCTATATTCTTAAATTTGTTACAATGCTTAGGAATTTTATTACCGTCTAAAACTATTTTTATAAGTCCTTTACATTGAGATGGTTTTTTTAATTCACTTTGATATTTTAATACATCGTAAATTTTAAGCACCGAAAAATATTCTAAATTGTTAAATGCCATATTCAATGAACATAAAGTGATATTACCTATGGAATATAATTGATCATTTTTTTGTATCGTATTATGATTGTCGAAAGGATCTTTAAACTCCCCTGCAATTTTTTGGACATCTTCTCTGCTTGTTCCGTGATCGATTCTTCAACAACGGCAAAATGAGTGAAAAAATTTCCAACATTTTTATCATATTTTGAAACTGCTAATTTTAAATTTTCCTTTTCCTCATCTCTTAACTGATTTAATATTTCTAATTCACACTTTCTACGAACTTCTTCTTTCTTACAGAAATATTTAAGTTGTCTTTGCTTAAGTCTTAATAATTCATCTTGCCTTAAACGAAATGAAAGTAGATGTTTCAAAATATTATTAGCACCTTTATCAGTGATATTGTTGGCCGAAATGTTTAGATGCAATAAAGTTCGGTTATTCCTTAACATATCTCCTAAATGTTTCGCACCTACATCGTTTATAAAATTTGAAGCCAAATTAAGTATGAGAATAGATTTAGAGGCGGGTTTTTCAAAATGCAACAGCTCTGCTAACATTTTACAAGCCTGATCATTAATTTGGCATCGACGCAGGGAAAGATATTGTAACTTGCTTATTTGTTCCAAAAGAACGTAGTAATTACATTTTGGTAAAAAAGTATCGTCAAGGCAAACGTAAGTTATATTGGAATATGGTAACATATTACTTATTTCGAGCAATAAGGTTCTGTGTAGACGTCCTTTTATCTTAAATCTAGATAATGTTCTATGGTAGGGCAAACAAAATTTTATCGCTTGAATAACTTTCCTTGGTATATCAAAAGAGCTACCTAAAAACGCTATCTCTTCTAATTGATTTCTAGAATTGTAATAAGCTATCAAATTTAAAGTATCCTCAACTTCAGCGTCAGTAAATGTTGATAAACTGCTTTGAGAGGGATTTTCTTTACTTTGGAACAACTGGGTTGAATTAATTTTAATTTCAGATCCTTTTAATTTTGTTTTATTTGTATTACTATATCTTTTTGTATCACAAGGCACATTTTCTTCTGAAAAATAAATGTTTTAAAAGCTATTCATTAAAATTAATATTATGGTAAAAATTATAAATTTAAGTAATACCTGAACTAAATCTATTAATAATAATTAATTTTGGAACTTGTAGCTGCAAACATAGCCAAGGAAAAAATTGCTCGAAGTCAAATGGAGAAAGAATGCTGCTAATAGTAAGTTTTGTCGTTTGCGAAACTTTAGAACCTAATCTACCTTGTTCATATGATCTTTGCCTGATGGCTTTCATCATAAGATGTATAATTTTCAATTACATACAAATAATTGATTGGTATTGAAAATTTCGTATAATTTTTTTTTTAATCGAGTTGGTTTTTAAATGATTGACAAATGCTCAATGCCATCATGCCATGATGCCATTTACAATACCTATGGCAGACGACAGTCGGCACCATGGATGACAAATAAAAGTCGCTTAGATTATACATTAGCTTATGTATAGTTTAAGTAAAAGTCGGCACTCGACACTCGGCTAGTTACGACATGCAACAAACAAACAATTATATTATCTGTGATTGAAATTATACGAATTACAAAAATGTAACACTTATTTATTTTAAACAGTATTTAGACATAATTATGTAACAAAGAATAATTAATTTATTTAAAGTTTAGTAGTAACTATTAAGTATATTATTATCCAAATGTTACTAAACATTATTTTAATTTATTAGCTGACAAGTGGCAACCCAAGAATAGATTGTCAGTGATGTCATTTGTCATATTACAGTACGGTTGTTTTGCCTTTTTTCTGAGTCGTAATCGTTTTTTATAAGGATCCACAAGTTTTAAGTTAAAAGCGGTACAAAACATAAATAATAGCAAGACAAATGAAGTTTCAGTGGTAAATAAGTGTTTTTGAGGACTCATTTTTTGGCGGCAGGGTCGTTATTGTCGATAGTGAATATTGCGTATCATGTAACAGTGCTCTTGTGGTTTATTTTGTGGCCGCTGCGTCTATTTTCGACTTGACAGTCTTCCTTTAACGTACGTGATCTTATGTTTTAATACTTAATTTACATATCTGACGTAAATAAATGTTTGTGAATGATTTAGAACTAACCATCTGTAAATTTAGTAACTTTTAATGTCAAGGTCCAACAATGTCCTTACTTGTTTCTCATCATATTTCTTTATAACTCGTTATACATTCTTCTCTAAATAGTAAACGAAACTTTCGAAAAATGTAAAAGTGGACACTTTTTAAACATCAACATTAAACCAGTTGCAATTAAAAAGTACTCAAAATACTCCAAATCTATTAATGAAAAAAAATTACGAAATGGATCTCACTATTCTATTATTACATATTCTCACACAGGTTTTATCTGATGTTCTTGTAATACAGTATGTCATTGTGTAGAGTTCTTGTTTTGGCTGATAGTGAAAGTTTTAACCACTCAGCCAATTGTATTTCAAAGTAGTAATCTGTTAAAATTGACAGCATGTCGCTCCATAATAAGTAATAAATTTATTTTTAATAGTTAGTTTTTTCAAAAAATGTCCTTGCTAAGGCTGAATAAATCAAAAATTAAAACAAATAAGAATTTAAAACAAGTAAATATCAAGGATCTTCTCTTTTACAGCATATAGTCTTTAGATGTATAAAAAAAATATTTGATTTTATAGCAAGCCATCTCAAAATGAAAGTTATCTTCAATATAAATTGATTTTCATGATGTATTATTTGAAGATACCTTTAGATCTATGCTGTCTATAGTTTTTAAACAGTTGTAACAATAGTAAATTTAAAAAAATTAATACTGATAAAAAAGAATCAATTTTTAACTTTTAAAAAAAAGAATCAACATCTTTAAATTGAAAGTAAACATGATATAATTTGGAATAGATAAAATTGGTTATATAATCCTCTGATATGATAATTTACTCATCCGGTCAAGAATTATAATAATTAGAGACCGAATTTGAATTTGCATATTTAAGCCATCCTCAGTGGTAATAGCATATTTTACCTAAGATCTAGTTATGACGCATATTATCGGTACATTTACAATATTTTTCTTAAATAATATGAATAAAATAAGTGATAATATCGCGAATCCGACCAAATCTAATAGTCACAAGTTGTTACTGATATTCTAAAATATGATTATATTAACAAATCATAAAGCACAACAAATATATATACTTCCTTAGTCAAATGTTTCTAAAATAAACAAATGAAATACTGCATCTGTGTAGATGTGATGTGTAGTGTGATAACTATTTGGTATCCATAACACAAGCTTCGTAGCTTACCATGGAACAAGATGGTGCTGTGTTAATGTCCCAACATACTGGAACTTATGCATATAAATCATTTCTTCCCATATCTGCTCTCTTCTAAATCGAACAAAGATTTAGGACCAGCAGCATAAAGTATTTGTTAAAGTCCACTTATTTACTCTTGGATATAACCAATGACTTATAAAACTTAAAATAATAATAATAAAAGTGATTTTAAAATCTAGTTTTTCTGTGTAAATATTGTATATATTTAGCCCTTTTTAACGTCCCACTGCTAGTCACGGGCGTCTCTTCAATATAAGGGGGATCAGCCTATAGTTCACGCTGACCCAGTACGGATTAGCGCCTCGCTGACTTCACATAAACATATGTATGGACAAATGCTAATTACGTAAAATAAGTTGGTAAATTGATTAACAGGAAACAATGAAATAAATCAACAAGATGAGTTGGTTACGCACCACATCCAAAACGCTGGCGCGTCAGTTGTCGCGCTCTCTCGACCCGCGCCATGATTACGAACCCCAAGCCTGCTACAATTCGTTTTGTAAGCATTGGCAGCAAGCACACGACATCATACAAAAATCCCAGGTGACTGTCACTTTTTATATTTTTTTAAAATTTAGAACATATCTGCTAAAAGTAAATACTGCTTGCAGATTTCCTTATAAAATATATTGTTATAATATGTACAATCTTCTTGGATATCGTCACCTATTCCTATTGACAAGTATTTAGGGCTAGGTTTTATTAAAATTATATTTTAATTGAACTTCCTTCAAGTTTCCTATGGTAAGTCCTGGTTTTGGCATAATATCTTTGCGCCTTCATCAAAATCGGTTCTATGGTATACCTAGGCGTAATTGAATTGCAAACACCAATACATACCTAATTAGAAAATAAAATGTATAGCTTCACTATTTTCTTTGCGAAATAATATAAGTGAAAATCAAAAGGCCCGCTATATATACTTCTCTCGATTCTCAGTTATCTATACATATAATAAAACTAGCATTTTATTATATGTATAGATTGTAACTAAGCCGAATCTGTACATGAAATATTTTTTGGAAAATCATATTGAAATAAACATTATTATCGATACAGAGGCCGAACTTATAGTTTTTAGAATTTTTGTCTGTCTGTCTGTTACCGCATCACAGAAAAACCACTGGAGGGATTTTGATGAAATTTGGTATGGGTATAGCTGGTTATCCGGGTCAATATATAGGATACTTTTTACCGCGGGAAAACATCTCATTTCTGAGAAAAAATACAAATCTGCAATGTAAGAGTATACTAATATGTAAAACCTAAAATTCGGTTTTTGGTCATCTGAACGCGAGCGGAGCCGCGGGCAATGCTAGTACTATATACAAAACACAAATACATAGGTACATAATATTATATACGTTATGACCGAAAGTTTTCCCCACCCACGATTGATCAAATATGGTATACACAAGTGTTTATTAATTAACATATTAATACTATTATAAATTATTAATACAATAATAATAATTTATAAACCGGTTTGTTATTTGTTGTTGGTAACCTCAATTAAATAATATATGTTCAATGACTTTAGACTTATATCATTGTCTTTGTATAAAAATCCTTCCGAGGATGTAAGTGAAGTCCTTATTCTGATGCCCGATCGATACGGAAACTTGAACCGAGCCCATATATTAACATCTGTCACACACAGTTAATTAACATAATATCGCTTTTCAAAACAATACTGAAAATAAAGGCGTCGTTGAAATGTATAATGTATATCAAAGAACGATACATAATGTTAGATATTTATGTAAGTATTCCATACTAATATTATAAAGAAGAAATATTATTTGTTTGTCTGTTTATTTGTACCGAAAAGGCTCCAAAACTACTGAATTAAATTAGATGATATTTGGTAAGAAGATAGTTTGAGGTCCTGGGAAGGACATAGGATGGTTTTTATCCCGGAAGTCATCCCTTATAGGGTTGAAAATGGGTATGAACGTTTGTATGGGGAAGCAACCTAGGGACGAACACGAGCGAAGCGAGGGTGAGTCGCTAGTAGTAAATAATTTAGAAGTGCATAGTATATTCTCTATACTCCAAAACAGCTCATCACGAGTATGTGCATACGTATATTTATAATTAGTTTTAGCATTCAGCTCCACTCTCGTGATAGGTTCGATATAAGCTATCAGCATTCTAAATTTCAATCAAATCCGTCAAAGCGTGAAAAAAACACACATTATGCGTGTGTGTGTTAGAAACTATGTTATTTATAATACTAGCGACTCACCTTCACTTCGCTCAGGTCCGCCCCTACGTAAGTTTTCACGTTTAGTATGAAATAGATTTTTCAATTATTTTTTTCGTGAAATTTTCCGATGTTTATTATAGTTATACTGCTATTCGAGGTGAAGACATATCCAACAAAACAAAGATCATAAAAATCGGTCCAGCAGTTCTCGAGTTATAAGTATTTTAACAAATCCGACTTTGTTTTATATATAGATATATATTAGTGTAAGGTATGAACTGTAAAATAATGTCTTGAGTAATAAACTTTGTAATATATTGATAGAGAAAAGTAGACTTTTCAGTAAATGTAAACAGTCTTATTTATTATAAATTAGATTAGGCTTTTTCTGTGACCTTAGGATTCTGTGGGGATATTAGTGTGTAGATTTTTTTTTAGTAGAGTCGACCTTAAATTTACCAAAGCGAAGGAAAAAAGAGTCTCTCGTATAGTACGATATAGAGGAATAAGAGTACAATAAAAACGACAAAACGTTGGGGAAATATCAAACGACGGTCACCATATAATCGTAAGACAGACAATTTGCAATGACCTATAATTTCATTCTAGCCCCAACATCTTCATGACGACGTCCTAGGAGTAGTCAATCACCTCGAACAACTAACGACACTGCTAGTATTAGAAGCAAGGGCAAGAGAGATCAATCGTATGCCCGCCCCGGCCGCCTGCCTCGAATACTTGCTTAGTGAAAATCTCCTGGATAAACTGTACGAATGGGCGAAATGTACTGGAATGTAAGTAATATTTTTATGATAAATAGTAGGTAGATTTAGTTTCAATTCATAGGAAAATGGACATTTATATTTGAATGTTTTTAAACTTAAAAAAGGTAAATTAATATTTAAGTATAAGAAATACCTAATTTTCACCATCTTGGAACAACTAAAGTGGTGTTATTGATGGAAGATAAAGTTTAAAAAAATATATAATATAAATCACAAATGTATGTCTGTTCGAAATGTTGTCAATGGTCAATGATTGTCGAAAAATTCCAATTTTCATGGCTAGTTTTCAAGTTAGACACTGTAGTGCCAACACTTGGCAAGTTGCAGTTATGCCGGTCAACCCTATAGTCTTTTCCCGATTGTGATGCAAAAGTAAGTTTGAAAGTCGGGAGCGACGGCCTGCATAGACACCTTCGTTAGACGACCACAATATCTAAAAATATAATCTCGAAATAAATATTGTACATTGACAATGTGTTGCCAAAGACAAGAATACTTACGAGCCGTTCAATTTGGTCATTACTCAATCTATGTTCAGCTCAACAATGACAAATGTTTCCAAAGTCTGATAATGTTTGTCTGAATAATTTGTATAGAAATTTAAATTCCATAATTATTTTTTAATGAGACGAATATCGAGGCATTGCCTACTATTGTGTATACACGGGTTCGATTCCTGCTTAGACTGGATTTAATAAACTATAGAGTCGAGTCATTTGACCCGGTCTCGAAAAACTAATTGAAGAAATCAATATCCTCTCTACATATAATATGTAATTCACATTTAAATTACTTTTTAATTAAAAAAGTTAAAATTAATTATTCCATTTTTTAAAACACTCCATCCAGGTGTTCTACTTGTTAAAAAATTAATCATAAAAAATATGTTTGTTATGAAGTGAGTCAAAAAAATATTGAGTATGAAGAATATGTAAATATTTATTTACTTTCCAAGTACAATTAATTATGTTGGTTCCTGCGTGAATCATTCGCCCACTGAATGAATACTGAATGTCTCTGAGACCAAATGCGATAACAACTTGTTATCAGAACTAGACTTGACGTATAGAGTTACGACTTAATTTGTTAAATGTCCTACAAATAAATATGCTATCTAATTAACTGAATTAATGTTGTTATGTTTATGAGTTAATATAATGAATTTATTTTGGTAAAACTTTAAGAAAATTTTCGTTATTCTCGAAAGCTTTGTTTCTATTAACAAACTAGCGACTCACTCTAGCTTTCTCTCTTCTCTTTCTCGCTAGGTGATTCTTTTAATTGGCATAACTTTTTCATTTATGAACCGCTTGAAATAAAGCATAGGTATCACAATACTTTAGTGAAAACTACACCCAAATCGGTTAAGCTATTTCTGAGATTAGCGTGCACAAATGCACAGACAAACAGACAAAAAATAATTGTTTTGGGTTCTAAGACAATTATAGTTAGAAGACCCCCAATAATAGTTTTTTCTCAAATATCTTCCACGTACAGACAGCGATCAGTAACAATTTTATTATATGTATAGATAGCTTATAAATAAATAAGTAAATATTTAAAAAAATTAGAACGTATTTAGTATATAAAAGTAATTTTAGAAATGTTTAAGTGAAAATAACAAGGAACGGGACGAAACAGGCCGTGACAATTCTAAAAACATTTCGTGCAAACTTAAATGTGAGGCATGTCTTACAATTAGCAGATAATAATTAATAAAAGGTCAATAGCCTTTTTGGTTTTCATTTAAGCGATTAAGATATAACATAAATATATCTTGAAATGAATTAGCTATGTCTCGTACCTAGTGTTTGTATCTACAATCGAAATGTTCCAAATTAAAACATAGATTTTTTTATTTGTTTAAATAATTTGTAAAACGTCCCTTGAAAAACCAGCTCCCGGATTTCACACCCTTGACATTTTCATGATCAAATAATTTTCAATTCAATATTTCTTTCTTCGCTCGGTCGCGTCCCTCGGTGTGTTTTTATTACCATATATTTTCTTGCTTTATTTCAAAACGTTTAAACAGAACACGCAGATAACTTAACTTAACGGTTTTTTCGTTTTCAGGTCAGTAGTTACAGAATTCAGAGATTACCCCTACATCATAAATTATAAACTTACAGACATACAAACATCCTCCCTTTACTAGCGACTGAACCTCGCTCCGCTCGGGTTCGTCCCTAGGTACGTTTTAACGGTTAGTATAGATTTCCCAGAGATGTGATATTTTCCAACAGGAAAAAGTATCCCATATGTTGACCCGGATAACAAGCTCATACCAAATTTTATCAAAATCAGTTTTTTGTGGTTTTCTCGTGATACGTTCCCAGACAGACAGACTGACAAAAATTGGACCTCTATATCGATTAAATGATTGTTTCAATAAGATTTTCCAAAAAATATTTAATGTACAGATTCGACTCCGATAGAATTTTATTATAGGTATGTATAAATATTAGTGTAAATAATAAATAATTCTTCTTTACTACTTGATATACATATTTGGGAGTGTTTGTAAAGTAACTACGATTAATATATTTAACAGGCGTTTTATGTTACACACAAAATGATGACATTACTGGCGGAATGACAATAACTCTATGCACCTGATTCAATAAGGAAAACAATAATACAGACACTGAATACTAACACGCGGTGTCTGCAGTTGCTTCATCTTATTACTTCACTCAAGATGCGTTTTTATTTCAGCAATCTATGCACAATATCTTAGACGAAGCGGTATTTTTTGTGTTTTATTGGACGACTAGAATTGCCCGCGTTTAGATTCCCAAAAATCAAATTCTTAGGTTTTACATATTAGTATACTTGTTGACCCGGATAACCAGCTATCACCATACCAAATTTCATCAAAATCCCTCCAGTGGTTATTCTGTGATGCGGTAACATACAGACAGACAGACAATTTTTTTTCTTTATTTATTATCTTTTTATAAATAAAAAATCTATCCGTCTTTGGTCCTTTAGATCCGCAATAATTAAGGCAAAAATATATTTAAATATATTTCCATTGAAAATCTTCTACCAGACGTTTTCATGTGAAGCGAGCCAAATATAATTAATTAATGCATAAACTGCCCTACTTACTGCTCTATTATATATATACGTATAATGTACATGTCTCTTTGTTACAAAAAAAATATATTATTGTTACCTTGTTAGGCTATAATCTACGACACATCAACTTGACTTGTGTAAAATATTTGTTGGAAAGTGATATGAACGCCTGTATTAGAAGCTCTATCATTAATAAAATATTAAAAATGAGATCTATTGATAATGGTTTTAGCGTGACGCACGAACATACACGGTCGTATTACTATTTTATTATTAGATGATGCATATGATTAGTCACGCGTTGATGAATAGGTATCAATCTTGCGTTTTGATTGAGGTATACAAAATGTATAAAAAATGGGAACATTACAACGGTTTCAAATATCAATGGTCTGAAGTATCGAACTTCGTGCGATCTTTATGAATGTTTAATATAACGAGTAACGTTTTAAAATACATTGGAATGTATTTTAAAACAAAATTACAATTTGTATCAATATTTGAAGTTATACTTCTTTTGGCACGTTTGGAAAAAAATATGGGGGTAATTTTTTTACGATGCGCGCGCACACCGACAGCCAAAAAGCGACATGATTAAGTTAGCTGCATTCCTTTTACAAATAGAGAGTTGTGACTTGTGACATACTGGATGAAATCTTTAGCTATTTTTATTCTGCTACGCGAAAGAAGTATAACTTCTTACGTGCATTTAAGTGCATACATAAGTACACACACACACATTTTTCTTATATTCATTTTCGTATACCACTTCCCCTTGTTACTTATAATAGTTTAAGTATAATTGTCTTAAACAATTTTGTTTAAAGGCTAAACAGTACCTTTCAATTTGGTAGTTTTACAAATTAATCGACATATAATTATAATTTTTTCACAAGCAAAGTTAAAAGATAATGAGATATCTGATGCAATGTATGAGTATGTATTATAATTTAATCGATTTTTTAAGCTTTGCAATTTTCTTAATACAATTCATAATCTTTCTTATTATACACACACCATACTAAAAATCGTATCAGTCAAAGAAGATAAAACCTTTGTTGGCGTTGTCAATATCCTGCCCTTGACTTAACTTGTAGCGCAAAATAAAACTATTTCATTTAAATAGAAGACTATCAAAAAAAAACAGTACTTCTGGTATTTTTTGTTTGTGTAAGTGTCGTCTATCCATTCACAAAAGTCTCATTGTGCGCGGCTAGTTTGTAAAAGAAATAAAATGGCGGCGGGTGGCTAACGCTAGGTTCCATAGAAAAGTGCCGATTAAATTTCGGTTTTCCTTTTGCTTAGTCTGCTTATGATTTTTAATTACTCAATCTATATATTTTTGTGCAAATGATGAAGCTAATTCAATATAAATAATATATACCTATCAGTTGAGTATTTCGCATCTTATCATGTGACCAGTAATCGTAACACAGAGTTATTAATTATTGCAGACACTCGAGATAACGAAAATATAATAAAATTAATATAAATCATAAAAATGCAGTAGGTAGCTTAAACAATTTTTACCGTTGAATCTCCGAATAACGCCATGTCGAAGAAAATCTGTTTAATATTTTACATAGTATGTTCGAGTAAATCTGCTTCGAGACGTACATTAAATTATTATTGTGTACTAGCATTGCCCGCGGCTCCGCCTGCGTTCAGATGACAAAAAACCTAATTCTTAGGTTTTACATATTAGTATACTCTTACATTTCAGTTTTTGTATTTTTTCTCAGAAATGTGATATTTTCCCACGGTAAGAAGTATCCTATATGTTGACCTGAATAAGCAGCTATCACCATACCAATAATCATTAAAATCCCTCCAATGGTTTTTGTGATGCGGTAACAGACAGACAGACAGAAAAAAAAATCTAAAAACTATAGATTCGACCTCTGTATCGATAATAATGTATATTTCAAAAAGATTTACCAAAAAATATTTAATATACAAATTCGGCTTGGTTAGAATGTTATTATGTATATGTATAGATGATGCACTAGCTTTTTAATAGTTTGTTCTTTTTATTTAGGTGTAAACGTAATTATTAATATAAATATTTATTGGCTTCATAATAACCGCCCTATATACCTAAGAACCCAATGGGTTTGCGTTTTACACCTTGCTAAATCTCTTGTTAAAGATTAACAAAGAATAGTTTTACTATCAAACATTGACTTTTAGACTATTGAAGTAATACATGTACACTTTATTTTTGTTACAATCGATTTTATGAGATCTAATAAGGATTTAGGGCTACTTTGTTCGAATGAAAAATTTAATGCCAATTTTAAATCTTAATATTAAGTAATATTATATATACAAATACTATAATAATAGAAGAACGTGAAAACTAAAGCAATTGAGAAATAATGCATTGTTATTACAGATACGAAAATGCAGTACGATTAGAACAACTCAAGCTATTTGGAAACCTAATCAACCATTACAGTTCGCAGGTATGCAAAGTTTTATTGTATGCATATATATATTTTTTAAATTATTTTATTAAAAAATGTGATGATTCTGAATTAACAACAAAAAGCCTTTGAACTCGTGCATAAAAATTCAACTAGTGTTTTAACATAATATATATTTATATATACCACCTGCAAAGAACAACATTGTAATATTGAGATAATTTGCTAACCAGTTATATTCAATTAAGATTTTTCTGTATATTATTAATTGTGCTGTTTTTTTTATAGGTTACAATGCATTTACTCCTTTTTTACATGTTAGAATTTAATTTAGTATTATAATCTTATTTTACCAAATTCCTCATTTTACGTGACGTTTTGAGGCACGTTTTGAATACAAGAAAATTAAATTGTTCAATTCAAAACTTATTATAGACATATTACATAGAATATTAGATATTATTTGTATGTTAAACTTTTTAAATTACAAATTACAACAGTACTGAATTACGGTATTGTTCCTTACAAATGATGTCGATAGTGCTTACCAGAATTCGAATAATAATTTATTTTCGACAAATCAACATTATCAGTTGATTGAAGCTAAAATTATGTCATTAATTTTCAGGTGATAGCAGCGGAACCATTTCTGCGACCCTTGTTGAAATTGCTCCAAGGATTCAGAAATCAGATACCACCAGCTAATCTTGAAAGTAAATATTTTCTTTTGTATCTAATGACTTTATCCAATAAATACAATATATTATATATTAAAACTTTATAACTATGAATGTTTTCAGTATTCTTTTTATTAATAACTAGCGTTTTTACGCGGCTCTGTCCTCTTATAAATGCAAAAAAAAACATTGTGAGATAAAAATCAATTAAACAAACAGACAAACTCATCAGCTTTATATATTAGTATAGATATAATTCGATTGTATCGTCAATTGGTTCATTGAAGACTACCTGCCTTGCATAGAGTAGATTAACTGCATCCCACGTAGTATCCGACGGGACTTAACTTTTCTCCGTAATCCGGTATTTTTTTTGTCGGGACGTAAGATGTTTTTTTGCAAATTTTATACAAAGCGCTTTTTCATTACCATTCTTAGATAAGAATTGAATTATTAGATTTAGTGATTAAAGATTAGCTAATTTTAAGTATGAGTTTCTTTAAAATAAAAATAGTTTTCTATTAAATTTGGGAGGTATTTAAAAATGTATGGTAATAATCATAGCAAATTATACTATGATTTATTGATAAATGCTCATCTCTGCTTTGTATCTAAATATACTTATTTAACTTTTCTGTTAGAAATTATATGAATAAAAAACCAGTTTCGGACAAGTCCTTTGTTTCTACGGGCCATGAACAAATTAAAACCTGCAAGGACAATAATCTGGTCTCGGTTACTGGTATATTTAAAATACGCAAATATTTTTTTCGGACTATTATTATAAATTATCGGAATACTATTACAGTACTGTATAAAAATAACAGCGGTAGCCCAGTGGTAACACGCTCGCTTGGAAATCCCGAGTGATGCGGGTTCAAATCCCGGGTTTCGCACTGATATTTTAATGTGCGAATCATTTCGAACATGATTATCACTTGTCTTACGCTGAAGGAAAACATCGTGAGGAAACCTGCATACTATCTGAGAGAATCTAGCAAGTTTTCGAAAGACCGTCCGAAAGCATTTAGCTAGCGTGGTGGACTATGGCCTGATTCCCCTCATATTGAAAGGAGGCCAGTGCCCAGCTGTGGGAATTTAAAAAGGGCTGTACACATATACATACATTATATACTATTATACATTTAAAAGTGTGTATGTGTGTGTCAGTTCGAACGAATTGAGAGCAAGTCGTTAGTTTAATAATAAATACTTTATAAAGCAACATTTATAATCTTCTTTTTCAGGTCAACTTGTCACTGTATTAAATCAGCTATGCGTAGTGTTAATGCAAAACATGAGGTTAATCGATCTGTTCTTTTTAATGACGGAAACCCAAAATGGTTCACAAGCTGAGTGAGTATGGAAATTGTTTTTATTTAGCTTTAATTTTTTTTAATATAATAGTGATGTTCATATTGTGTCAAAAATGATTATTATAATTTATTAGCGTCTACAATATCTTTGTCATAGATAATTGTACTTGTACTAAAAATTATTTTTTACTTTTTAGTTCGGTTCATCACTAAAGCTTGTTTTTTTATTTTTTTTAAACTATAATTTATTTTCTATTTTTTAGTTTGATCTGCTATAAAAGCGTGTTTTTTGGTTTTTTAAATATAAATAAATAAAATAGATAGATACGTTTATTATTGTATTGTCATCAGTCCTTGTTAAGTGGGTTAAATTTCAAGTTAATCGGACGTTTTGAAGTGGGTAAAAATCGCGTTCAAAGATTCTGTTACATAAATAGATACAGATGAAGCTAATAAAAGCGTGTTAAAATTAAAATGGTTTCTATTTAATTTAGTTTCATATTTTTATTAAAAGAAAATGGTTTTCTAATAATTATTATTTTTTGACGATGTAAGCTTAGCATTGAATTTTTACATAATACATTAATCAACAATTACAAATATAATATAGGTATAGTTATAATTTTATTTGTATATTTTAATCATTTCTATTTTACATAAATATTATTATTTACTTATGGTATTCGTTATTTAATCCAAATTTATTCATTACAGATTTATAATCGGTCGTCTATTACTATCGTCTGTGCATAGAGAGGGTTCCGCGGGCTCAGTGGCGAGGGACGCGTTTCTACTCTGCGCCAAGATGTCCGCCAAGTGTCCGCCGCTCGCGCACTGCCTGCTGGCGGGCAATGCTTGTCCTATATTAGCTACAGGTTGGTAGAAATTGGTAGAAAATAGTAGCAATTAACTTTAGTAGCTTTTAAATATTATAATATTTAAAAGCTACTAAAGTTTATTATAATTTGATTGTAATTCGTATAATTTTAAAATGTATTCATTTTGTAATATTTTTTTTATTTTATGGTTGATTATAAAATAATAATAATAATGATGTCGGTTAGGTCTTAGCAAAAGTACAGTTTTGCAATTGTATTTAAAAGTTTTTATAAAAATATATTTTATTGTACATCCCAAAAAAGACAAATGAAATTTAGTTGCAAAATTCGCCAAAAGGTTGCCCTACCTGTAAACAGGTTATGTTATATATAACATAATAACTACATAATGCATGTAATCTATCTTTTTCAGTCGCCAGTAATCTGTACTAATGTTATAAAGAGGCAGGATTTGTTTGTTTTTTCAGACGCGCTAATCTCAGGAACTACTAATCCGATTTGAAAAATTCTCTTTGTATAGATAGCCCGTTTCTTGAGGAAGATATATCATCCCGGAAAAATGTATGGTACCCGTGGGTTAGACTTGTTTTTGTCTAGGGACGAACTCCCTAGTATACTAATACGATCCCCGTGCTTAGGTCTGAGCGGGCTGTACTCGCTGCTGCCGCGCGCGGCGGCGGGCGCGGCGCCGCGGCTGGCGCCCGACGACGTCAACCGCGTGCACAAGCTCACGCTCTTCATCGACTCGCTGGAGTTCTGCAACGCCGTCGCGCAGGTACACCTGTACACATGTGGATGATACCATTCTAACTGCCACTTTTCCATTAAAAATACTTAATTCTGTAACCGAGCTTTTTTTGTTTTTTTTTATGCATATTTTTATTCTATGTTAAATATAGTAAGAAAGAAAGTGCAAAAGGATTTTGCTACAACAATTAAATATTGAAAATTAAGTTAATTTTTTCCGTTACTTACATGAATTATATTTGATAGAAATTCTGGAAAAATATTAAAATTATTAAATTATATACATAGGACATGACACGGTACTGAAGTTTAACTAAAATATTGCAGGTTTTCTTTCGATAACAACTTGAATTATACATTAATACTAACGAATTATGTCACTGAGTATTGTATTGATATATTATTTTTATTTAATCATTTATTTCAGGCGATATTTACAAAAAGATCTTAAATATGTAAACAGAGACCCATAGTATAATATAAACCTTAGACTAACATATATATTAATTATAACTATATGAAAAACCGATTGGTCGTTTAATAATCATGTATGACCAGTGAGAGTAAACAATACAGGACATGAAAAATTACAGTTGGAATCACCACAACTATGATGATCAATCAACACAACAGAAAATACACGAAATTTTGTATCCTCCAATAGAATTATCGTCTTTCATTTCTTTTTAAGCCTATATTTGCTCGATGTAGATGTAAAAAAAACAAACAAGATTTTAGTGCACAGCGAATATATTAATATTTTTTAATGACTAAATCAATTTCGGCCGAAAATAAGACTAAAGCCGAAGCTTCTTTTTCGTTTGCGGCTGAAAATCTACTTTCATTCGGACACTAATTAAAATTATATACATTTTTCAGGTAGCACATCCGTCCATCAGAAAACATCTACTAGATTTGCTTTACCAAGGTTTCTTAGTGCCAGTAATGGGTCCAGCGCTATTGCAGGTAACATATACGTACATATATAAATATGGAAGTGGGTCGGTTTGTGTATCTTTTCATTGTGTTTTCTTAACTGCATGTGGGTATCATGAATGTGGTTAGGTTATATGATTGTTTTTATATAGTAAGTATGATGGACATTATTTATTGTTAACAAAAATCAATCTATCCCACGGGAGCCGTACATTTGTTCGGGATAAAAAGTAGCCTATGTACTATTCCAGACTATAATCTATCTCTGTGCCAAATTTCATCCAGATTCGTTCTAACTTTTTTGACAAATAGTATAAATAATATATTAAACATGTGCACTGGTTTTGTGTTGTATTGTCTGTCAGCTTTGCATGTTTCAATAATAACTAATTATACTTCGAAAATTTTATATTTATCATTAACTGTTGCTCCTATTGTTTATTTACTTTTACTTCACTATTTTCAATTCGAAGACATTCTTTAATATTAAGCCATTTAATTAAGACTTTAAAAAAAAAAGACAATTTGAGTGTTGCCATATAAAAGCTCACATGTCTATAATGTTAATATTATTGTTATTTTAATATATCAAATTTATTTATGTATTTTCATAATTTTTGTATGTTTATTTTATATGAGAATCATGGGTTTCGTGACACGTGTGGTATTGGTCATAAGTGGTCTATCTCTATAACGAAGGTTATTGACAGATTCTATCTAGGAAAAAATAAAAATATGTTTGTCCGGACGTTGTACGATAGAATAAAAAATATTTTTGGTCATGATTCATGAACATTTTTACGTATTCGAAGTGATTAATATTTTCGATATTGTCTCTTAGACCATTTAATTTTTTTATATCTGTAAATAACATTTCGTTATAGAGAATTTCACAATTACTTTGGTATGGATATCCATCATGCCAAGTTTCACGGTTCAGTGACAGTGTATTGAACCTTTGCCTTTTGATCATCCCATAGTCCCTTTGTCATTTGTATCACTCGCTTTTTACTCCAACCATTTTGTGTTTTGGGCTCATTTACAGTGGTGGTGTTATTAATTAAAATTCGATTCAATTTATTTAAAAAAAAATCATAATATTAAGTAATTAAAACGTTAACAATGTCATAATTGAAATTGTAAAAAAAAATGTTTCCAGTATAGTCCCGTAACATATTCATAGTATAAGACTAACTAGCACTAGATTGTTCGTGCATATTCTAACATAACAAAGCACACGCTTAAAAAAATAACTTTCAGCCTGAACTAACTGAAATTCCACATACAATTAATCAATCAAACCAACATAATGTTTGTTTTAAATTTATTATATACAAAAAAAACCTACACCATAAAAGCCCATTGTCCCAATAACTGTCACTCGGCCGCTATCTACTCGTGCCACGAAACACGATAGAAGAAAGCGGGGCCTTTGCAGAGCGAGTGCGCGGAGCAGGCCACGGCCATGACGTACCTGGAGCTGCTGCTGCGCTGCGTGTCCGCCGGTGGCCTGCTGCGCGTCGTGCTGCACTTTCTGTTCTCGTATGAGTACGACGGGGTGAAGGTTATTGATGTATTGCTTGGACGGTTGGAGGGGAATAGCCAGGTTAGTGTTTGAGAAAATGTTTATTTTTTGATGTGAAACATCTATTGGTGTGTCTGGACGGTAAAATCGCCTCTTAGTGTGACGGCAAACGGCGTGACACAGTCATGCCATTATGCCTTTTGTGTTCGCGCGCGTATTCTATACGCGCTACGAAAATGCTTACATTTATATTTTATTTATGAGTACATTTTATATTTTGTAATTATCTTTATAATTAAAAATAATAAGGAAAATTGATGTTATTATCGGAACTCTATTTTTTCTTTATTTTACTTCATGTTTCGTTATAGATTTTTATTAATTATGAATTTGAATATTGACATAGATGTTTCACATCTGCCGGGCGTCCCGTGACGACCAACATTTTTAATTTTTAAACTCACTCTAAAATACCTATAATAAAATTTGAATTCTCATATATTTCAAAGTCTCTACTATTAATACTATTTTATGGTTTACAATTCGTGGTTACAATCAACAAAGTAAATTAGGACTTTTTTCACTTTTTATCATTTTTTTTCTACAAAATTGCAGCTTTCACTCGTAACGTTATGCCTTATGGAAACACTCATCGACTTAAACTGCGAAGATGTCATGATCGAACTTATATACAAACACCTAATAAATGGCAATCATCTAATGGCTGTGTACAGAAATAAGCTAACCGATCCCGAGCCATATAGGGAAGCTGCAGTATCTTTTCTGGGCCTCAGTCCCAAATGTTGTTCTAGACCGGTAGAAAAAACGAAGGAATGGGTTGATGAGTTAGCCCTCAGCGGGCGCCGGGTGTTAGATTTTAAAAGAGACGATGACAACAGAAGGATGAACGGTGTTCACGGGGAAATAGCCATGAACAATCTAGTCCATGAAGTTAATTTTGATTATGGAGTGAGTATTTTTTATATTTAAAAAAAAAGTCCAATATACAATATTTTTTTCTATTTGCATTTCCTTTATTTTTGTATTTGTTTAATTCTTATTCAAAATAAAGAAATGTCGTAAAATATACATATTTTATTCATTATTTAAATTAGTATTAATTTTATAATTTATTGACTTGATTTTCTCACCTATCAGAATCCGAACGAAACGTTATACCACAATTATCACGCGTACCTCTGCGACGCGCGCTACGAAATTGTATCTCGAAGCATTGCATGTGTGAATTGGAGCTTTAAATACGACTCGATACCGAAAAGAGAGGCAAACAATAACACTAAAGAAATGAAAGAGATAGACACACAAATACCTTTGAGAGAACAAGACAGCCTTGTATCGCTCTGCACCAGTGGATATAATACGTTGAAAACAAGCGATACTTCAGAAAAGGAACCTCATAGTTTAAACTCTTTGAATGAACTAGTAGAAAATAAAGTTTCAGAGAAAAATTCTACAGGTGACGAATGTAAAATAAACGAATACGATGCAATAAAAAGTGATTCCGAGAAAGAACACCATAGCTTGGGATCTTTAAGTGATGTAGATCATAGTAAAGTGTTAGAAACTCAATGTAAAGAAAATGATAAGAACAAAACTAGTGATGAGAAAGAACTTAGTTCGAGTTTTTTGAACGATGTTAGTAACAAAGAGCAAAATGAAGTGAATGAAACAAAAGATCATGATAGTTTAACGTCTATAGGTGGAAGTAGTGAATACGATAGCTTTAGGTACAGACTTGATGATAATGAGGATGAGGGTTTTGCAGAGGATTCTTTTAGGAAAAACTTTGCTAAGAATGACGTCAGTTCAAGGGACGTGAGAGAGTACGATGAAGTATCCACTATAAGGAATTGGCGTGCCAGTGCCGAATCTATTATCGGTGAGTATTTTTTTTGTAAGTCAGTTTGTAAGTTTCATAAAAAAATAATACTTTTTTAGATTTACTCGAATATTTGACATTTTAAATAAAACTATCTTTTTGGATTTATTTTGATTGTTGGTTCCCGCCGTTTCGCATGCTTTACAGCAACCATTTGATTGATTTTGTAAAGCATTAGAAACGTCGGGAACCAAAAATCAAAATAAATCCGCGAAAAAATCCGAAAAGATAGTTTTATTCATAATTAAATTTAAAAATTGCAGTGTGCTCCAAATAGGTGATGTTATAATCCTTACTATTAGATACTGTTTTTGTTTTATTTTTCTTTAATTTTGAAATTCTATACCTAAATAACTTTTGCCCGTTGCAATGTTAACAAGGAATTTAATTTATTTCTTATTTTTGAACTTAATTGATAAACGCTATTTATAGATAAGTTCAAAACTTAAATGTTCTTGAAATAAAATGTAAAGATACAAATTAGCCTATGCTATATGGATATGGCCTGAATTTTGAATCGCAATTAATCAAATCAACTCTTATATGTATATAAAAAGTGCCTGCTTTTTTATATAGAATTTTTGTATAAACTAAAAAGATAACAAAAATATTAATGGACGGTAGATTGGGTTTTGGTCTGTCGGATTAGCTGGCTTATAATCCTAAAAAAAAAATAGAACTACGTGTTCGGATTTTTTTTCGGCTTTATTCAGAATTTTTGTCCACGGCTTTTCGAATGCTTTACAGCAATCATGGTCACAGGAGAGACACTTTCCCTTCTGTCCGTAAATCCGAAAAGATAGTTTTTTCTTAAAATGTCAAATATTCGCGTAAACCTAAAAAGTATTGCTAATAAATTACATTACGTTTCAGGCCCTCTTCTACACAGGCTACTAAAGAAAGCCTCCAATTTCCTAGAATCAGATGTAGCGACAACATGCAGAGTATCGAGCATACTCGGCAAACTGGCGTCGTTGCCTACTCCCTTGTTAACCGCCATGCTGCTGTGCCCCGGCTCTGCTTTACAACCCAATGTGCCTTCATTATTCCAAGTAAGTATTATAAACATGTACATACAATAGGTACATTTCAATTTTTTTTGAACGGAACGCAAATTCTTTTACTGAAATAAAAGTAGCCTAAGTTACTCCTTATCATCCACATCAACTGCCTGCCAGTGAAAGTCCCTTCAAAATCAGCGCATCCGTTTCGGAGATTAGCCGCAACAAACAAACAGACAGGCAGACATTTTTTTTAATTGTGTTTATCTTATAAATACCGTATATAATTCCATATGCGTTTACCAAAAATCTGTTATTTTGACATTACAATCAGACACTTTTATGTTTTTTGTATCTGTATAGATTTGCCCTACTTTTGACGACACGTTTCAATCACAAGTTTCTATGTTTCAATTTTAGTACTTATTTAGTTATTAATGCTACAAGGTTCTATGTTTCATTAGCTACAGTTTTGCAAAAACAAACCTCTAGATAGCGGCACTTTAACTACAAAATATTCAATTTTACATAATTCTATATTGTTTTTTTACGATAACAAAATAACGAAATTCTATGTAAAAATTACTAAACTTCATTAAAATTAACATAGAACCTTGTAATAGTCAGCCAACTAATTTATTATGTAGTACGTTCTTTGTTGTGTGTAAGCTACGGAATATTTACACCCATTATAAAACATTTTTTACACCTGTGTAATGGCTCATATGATATTTTTGTAAAGAAATTAAATATTCAGGATTCTTAGCGTATCCCTATTTTATAATCTAGATTTATAATCATTTTTTACCATTTTTATCAGATTTTAAGTAGATTAAAAGAAGAGTTGGACGAACTAACCGACGGTTTAGAAAATTCAAGCGAATTAGTGGACAAGGCGAGAGTGTTTCTCATACAGCGGGAGATGACGTTAGCTAACTCGCGTGCGCAGACAAATGACGAAAGTAAGTTTGTTATAATCTACATTTTCATTCATTTAATTCCAGGTCCAGTAATAAAATCAAAAACCATTAAAAATAACGCAAAATGACGAATTTACGATTTCACGAAGAAGCCCCTCTAAAAAATCTCCTAAGATATACTCACAATAACTATTTTTATCTATAGAAAACGTGCTTAGGAACGACCAAAGCACTTATTTGATCCATTTCTAATCAATGATAATAAGTAATAAGTTCTTTATTTCCAAAAGGTAGTAAGTACATCCAGATATTTGCTTAACACTTACTAAATCTAATTTGGTACATACAAATATTTAAAATATAGCATCTGCAGCCGAACTAGGAGACCTGTGCATCAGCTGTCAGCGCCATATCCCCACGGTTAGGTGACATAAATATTACCAAAAAAAAAAATTACATATCAACTAAAGATATTAATTAATATTACTAAATATGTCATTCCTCTCTCTTAAGATGTGTAATGCATGACTGTAAGAAGTATTTGTGTAATGTGTGTGAGCAATTAAAGGAAAGGAGTGTGTATTGTGTGTCTGTGTATGTGTGTGTGTGTGTGTGTATGCGCGTGCATCGATATCGATCGATCGTGTAATCAATGATGTTGACGTAATATTATTAAAATATAGATAATCAAAAATCCTAGTCATGTCCTGAAAGAGTAATAATATGAAACTATTTTTTTATTAATGGAACGGCTTTGAAAAGGATGACATTCTGGATTTAGATATATTGTGTATATGTTACGATATGATGAAATTTATATTATCTCGTATCTCAATATATAAAACAAAGTGCGGTTTGTTACAACACTTATAACTCGAGAACTGCTGGACCCATCAAATCAAAATATACTTTATTCAAATAGACTTTTACAAACTCTTTTGGATCGTCAATTTTACATTTTAAATTGAAATTAAATATCAGTGTAGTCAGTCCGTTAGGAAGCTACCACTGGCTCGGAATGCAGTTTTCTGCTGAGATTTTTATGATTTTTATGATAAAGATCATAAAAATCTCAGCAGAAATGGAAAACAAAGGTTTTGTTGGATATGTCTTCAACCTGAATAGCAGAATAACTATTAAAACATCCGGAAAATTCAAGGAAAAAAATGAAAAAAACACCATACTAAACTTTAAAACGTACCTAGGGAAGAACCTGAGCGAAGCGAGGGTGAGTCGCTAGTAAAGCGACTTAGTTTCACTTCAATCGACGTCCCTAGGTACCAAACAGTAACCTTTGTATCACTCCAGGACATAGTCTATCTGTGCTGTGTTCAGCCATAACAATCGCACACACACGCACACATACATAAACTTATACAAAGCTGCCTACCTGCACTTGGCCAGCGTGGTGGACTATGGCCTGATCCCCCTCGTATTGAAGGTAGGCCCGTGCCCAGCAGTGGGTCGTTAAAAGGGACCGAATACATATAAAAATTGTCCAAATGTCAGGTCAAGCGCACGCACAGTCGCCGCGCCGCGACGAGTCCCCGTTCCGCCGCGCGGAGAGCAAGCGACGCAGCTTCTCCTCCAGCCTCTCCAACATGTTCAACAGGAAGACCTCATGTAAGTATATGTAGGAAGTGCTCACTTGAATCATTTGCCTATATTTTTTTTCATGTAATTAATGTTTAATTCATTCTAGCTACCTACAGTTATTTCCGATTTTCTTTAACTTGAATATCAATAGTTGATAGTTGTCTTTTTCTAATCAACAGCAATAAGCTACGTGCGTGCTTAATTTTGCCATTAGTTGCTACAAATAAATAAATTAACTTGGTACTTTGGTCTTGGTAAGTTACTAGCGAATTACCGTCGCTTCGCGTTCAAAGCCTTTTAAGCTTGAAGAAGTAATAAACATTCTCATACAAGTTAGATTAGATGTAAGCAACTTACACTTTGTCCAAATGCTCATTAATTCTCTTAAGTGACAATACCAAAAAGATGCCTTTTCCGGGTAGTAAACTCCGTACGTATACGTATTTCTAAATATCATTATCTGTCAGTTTAATTTGATGTAAGACTCATTGCAAACTAAAAAGCAGTAGCATCGTCATACAACTACCTAAAAGAGAAGAAATATTATAATTTATGTTATTTTATTTTTACAAAATAAACGAAAACATAGAGATAGATAAAAGTTTTTATATTACAGTATCGCCATCACAACAGAACTCTCAGAGTCTTCAAAGCTCCATGTACAACTCCAATTCCCCCTTACAAAAGCGTCCAATATTCACCCAAGAGGCTTACTGGAACCAATCCATCACATTACGGTCCGTCCTCAACGCAGTTATACTCGACGAATGGCTCAAAGAATTATCAGCTTTATGTGAAGAACAAGCGTTACGACTTTCCGCAGATAGTTACGAAAACGATACATACATACGGACGGTGGCATTATGACTGTTGGCCAGTGCCACTGATGGCAGATTTAAAAAAAATAATGTCATATCTGACACTTTTGTCTAAGGCCTTCAATTATGTAAATAGTTTTTTTTTTTATTATTGTCAAAGTAGCAAGGTTTGTATATGGCAATAAATGTTTTTTACACTTACGTGTAATGCCTTATGTAAATAGTTTGTAGTTAAATAAAAATAATCTTACTTAGGTACTGTGCAAAATAGACTCGAACTGTGGTCTTATGACTAATGATAGTAGCCGACATTTTTTATAATTAATAAAATATATTTACCGAAACCTTATATCTGTATGCGAACGCTTTGTTATGAACAGACAAAAATAACTATATATATATATATATATATATATATATATATATATATATATATATATATATATATATATATAAAATTATGTACCATGTCACAGAATAGAAAGTAAAAAAATATAATATAATTTATGTATAATTCCGTCTAATATCTTCTGAAACCAGTCTAATAAAAACTTTATTAGAATACAAATGCTTTGGTCTAGATTAGTGATAGCATTTTTATTATTTAGATCTTGTCAAATAGTTTGTTGTACAATAAATTATAATAAAGGTATCATAAACAACTCTTGTATTAGTAACAGAAGCATTTGTATTTAAAATTAAAACTATATATTTTTAATTTTTTTTCTATAAAATATCTTTTTTTAACATATGGAATAGTTTAGTTGCCTTAGGTGTACCTAAATATCACACTTAATTGTAAGTACCTAACTTTATATTAGCAGTAGATGCAATCATAATTTTAATCATCAAATGCCATGAACGTAATTTTGAACTGTGATTTGTAATGTTCAAAAACTATAATTGGATTATAATTTATTATATATAAATTTAAACTATTTTATAATGAACGTTTTAGGCTAAAACGGTGTTTGGGCCTTTTCGGGTCAATAGGGTTGTTCCCTCTAGGTATAGATAAACGATCAGAACTTTTTTTAACAATAAAAGGAAGAGTATCGATAAGGTCTCATTTCGACCCCGATAAAAAAATATGTCATACGATTTGATCTTTTATTTACACATTCTGAAAATAGACTGTGCCTGATAAGAAAATATATTTATGAAAAAAAAAAACACAATTAATACTACTTGTGAGATGCGTAACTTTGGTCTAAATGCAAATTTAGGCCTTATCAATACCTTTCCTTTGTCCGAAGGTCTTATCTCAAGTTGAAGCCTACAAGTTAAAAATGCAGTTGTTTTATCTTTAATTTTTTTAATACTAAACTCGCATTATTTGTAATAATATTTTATTAATTTAATACATTATAATTTAATTTTCTAATTAGGACAATTTAATTCTTATTATAATAATTCTTATTAGTTTTATATGTTGCTGTGTTAATTTTATAAAGATTTTTATTTTAATTCTCGACCTATATATTGATGTATTGAATAGTTTTTTTTTTTAATTTTAATTTTCAATTGAATATTGGTTATATTCGTACAACGATTATTGTTTAAGTTACTTTTATTGTTTCAATTTTGAATTATTATAACAAATGCCATTTTATACTAATAACTATTTTTGAAATGTATTTGACATTGTTTCGTTTGATTAACAACTTATAAAATTATAAAAATATGTTATAAAATTTAATGCGCAAAACTAAAGAGTCATATCTTTTTAAGTAAATTAACGTCCATGTCCGTCCATTGGATGAAATTATTCTAAATTAATGTCTTACATAACTATACAATATGTCAAGCAGAAAAGCGGAAACCTCTTTTAATCTCTTTCGTTCTTGAAATTGGTAATAGTTTGCCATTGATAAATAAATAAAATTTTGCTTTCCTTTTTCAATTTAAGATTTTGTAATTTTTGTATGGATATTGTAACTACAAGTTAGACATTTTTGCAGAGATATGTTCTATTTTTTTAGAATGTAATATTAATCTTAATTAGCTTTTTATACTATTATACAAAAAACCAGTACCACTGAACATTACTTGCCAATCTTTTCAAATAACCTAAAATCAAACTAAACTTGCTATTTGTAATAGAAATAACAAAAAATAAAATATATTATTATCTGTATTCTTGAAATAAAATGATAACGCCTATAGTGTGTGTTTACACTAAAAAAACTTAGTCAATTGTCCGCATATTACATGTTTAAGAAAATTATTTGCACAATTTATTCGTATTATAAATTATTTTATAAAACTTCATATACTTAAATAAAGTTATGAATGACAGTTTTTTATATTCTCTAAACCCAACCCGTTTTTAGCTTTATAATAGGGCAGGTAGCATAGCAACTTTTCTAGTCATTTTATACCGACTGAAATTCATGACATTCAGATACACAATTAGCGCCTCAAAAGTGTCCTTAAAAAGAAGTAAACAATTTGGATGACGAAATTTAAAACGTACGTTGTTTCATTTAAAAAAGTACTTTATGTGGTGTGAGTAATATCGAATTTATGTTTAGACTATTAAGAGGCCGTATGCGAAATCAAAACGAGCGAAATTATAGGCAATAGAAGCGCACACATACACGCGCAGAAGCGCTCTGTCGCGTGTGCGTAAATCTGACGTCGTCTGGCGATTAAACCGTTTTGATCTTTTAATATTTTTTTATGAGTTTTTTTACTTTCACTCATGGATTTGTAAAATTCAATATTACCAAGAACTTTATTAAGTAATAAATTAGGTACCACATCCTCATTGTCTTCTTTCCCGTCAGTCACCACACTTGTTCCGTGGTGTGATGGTCAAATTATACTCCAAGTCATTGTTACTCTTATTTCTAAAGGTTTAATGCCTTTTTTACAGTCTCCTAATGTTACTGTGTCTCGTATAATAATTGCAATTAATTCTTACTTTATAACTATTATACCTAAATATTTTTTTGAATATAACAATTGTGGCCGTTATACCTAAATTGCCACACCAATGTTTATGTTGCTATATTTTTTATATATATTGTAACTACAATATGATGACTATACGACTAGATATCGGTTCGGGCGGCGTAAGAAATCCGCCACGGTAAATATAAGCTCACTTGCAAAGTGAGCGTATATTTTGATTAGTTCTATTGAAACACTGCCAGCGTAAACACGTACACAATGCCGCAATGTGTATTTTAAAGTTGCAAAAATAATGCGCGAAGAAGAAATTTTTCGGACAGAATGTCTTATTTTCGGTAAGTTCACGTAGATTAAGTCAATATTTTAAGATTTAACCATGAACGAATTAGCCACATACGTTCATGGATTTAACCTACGAAATAATATAAAAATGAAATTTTGAACAATTTTAAATCCGCTAAGAACGTTGGCCCAGGTTGGCCAATACATACGCAAATTCAAAACAAAATTTAGCAAAACAACGATTTACCTCACAAAGCAACAACGGGAAAAAGTGCTTTATGTTTTAGATTTTACAATAAATATTGGTATAACTTTTCACGCTTTTTAATTTCTGAACTGATACTTAAATATTACTTTTACTGTCAAATGTCATCTGTCAGAAATTAATTCAGCATTTCTAAGTTTGTGCATCAATTCGAGTTCGAGAGTCGACATTTCCCAGTTTATAACTATACTCTTTGGTCGACATTTGCCATTACTCATTACAGCTGCTTGCGTTATTTATATTTTACATTATGTTCACATTTTGAACAGTATTTTTTTTTCTGTCCCAGTTACGAACGGTAATTATTTTCCGCTGTAAGATTGTAAAATGCGAAGTTAAATGTTTTATTTGGATTATATATTATAAAAGTGATTTAAAATGTCTTCATTCGTAACCTATCGTAATGATAGTACAGTGAATATTGTTGAAGCAACCACGAAGGATAACGTTACTTTTTATCAAATCGTAATTAAAGTGGGGCCTGTGCAGTGGAACGTATTACATCGCTACAGTGATTTTGTAGAGCTCCATGAGAAATTAGTCGTAGATCATGGTGTGGCAAAAGATTTATTGCCCCCAAAGAAAGTTATACGCAACAAAACACCGAAATTTGTAGAACAAAGACGTGAAGCTTTAAATGATTACTTAAAAAATGTTTTTAAGTACTTGTTGCTCACTATGCCTTCAGAATTTGCTCACTTTTTAAATTTTCATTTGTATGATATTTTCTTTGTGTTACAAGAGTTAGCTAAAAAATTGTATTTGGAAGGTGACAAGTTATTAGAAAATGAAAAGTCACATAAGTTTAGTTTATTACAGGTAAGTGTCATCATAATCTGTCAATATCTTATTTTATTTATTAACAGATTGGCATATTTTTTTAGTTTCTGCTTAAAAATGTCAAGGCTAAAAGGATTAATAGTCATAAAAACATGTGGCACTGGAAATATCTAGTACTTTTATTTCATTTTTGATATATATCAGAAATAAAAGCTGTAGTTAAAATGATAATTATAAATTTTATGTAGAAAAAATGTACTAATGTATATTAATTCAACCATTTTTTCTAGTTGCATGCCATTAGTGAAAGATTTAAAATGGCATGTCCACCAACAGAAAAACAAGATCAGATGTATGACTTTAGTCATATCTTGGATTTTTGCTCTCAAGTTGGCTCTCTGAGTATTGAAGGCAGCTATGAAAAGTTGGGAACCAGCAACATTGTACCTAATGAACTACATTTTGATTTGATACCATTTAAATCATTGGTTGATCTAAAGATTCTTGGTGTTCCTATGGAATGCATACAAAGTGTTGGTAAGTTTATTTGTTTTTCTTCTGAAAATCAATAAAAATCTTAAATTCATTCACTGACTTACAGACAAAAAACAGCCTAAACCACTGGATCGGGAAGAATGAAATTTTATTAAAAAAATTTAAACCTTATATTTAATACTAAAATACTAGACTTGCAATGAATATTCGGCTACTATTTGGTATTTAGCCTATTTGGCTACTTTTATCCTATTCAGCTGAATACTGAATATCTAGATCCTATTCGGCCGAACACCGAATACTTAAGTAATATGTTATGTTGTAATCAGATAATAATAGGGAATATGCATGTGATGTAATGAAAGGTCAAATGTTTTTTTATAATCTTTATGGCTTTTGAATTAAGGCTACATTAATATTTTTTAATGTACATAATTTCTTTTTGATTAAGAAAATATTTATTTAAAAGTACAAAAACAAGTGGAAAATTAGAAGCAGTACAAAAACAAACGCCATTGGTCAGACCGAATATGACATCAGAATATATCATAACAGCGCGATTAGCGATTTTGTCGCTTGCTAATTGAGTCGTTATTTCTGTGTATATCATACTGCGAAGTCACGACAAGAGCGCGAAATGGCGAGCGCTTAAAGTATCCATAAGGGTATATTTTAATTTTTTTATACTAAATTTTATTGTTTTGGAGCTAGATATTTTTTTACAATAATATAACGATGTAAAATTATTGTATAAAAATCTAAAAAAGAAATGCATATTTCCTATTGGTAAAATAAAAATATTGATTTATTTTATAATAATACTAGCAGAACCCGCGCCTTCGCTCGTGCTAGAACTACAAAAAAATATATAAAAAGATGGGTGTGATACAAACTTTAATCCCCTATTCCCTTACAGGATGAATTTCGAAAAATGCTAAAACACGTATTTATTTAATTGTATTGAAGAGCATTTATATACACCAAGTTTCCAGTAATTCTGATAATAAATATTTTTTTGGGCTGTATTATAACGTGTATTCCCATGGGAATGAGGTAATCTACCGCGGTAAAAAGTAGCCTATGTCACTCCAACTGTCTCCACACAAAAAGTCACGCCAATCCTTTACTCTGTTTCGACGTGAAAGAAGGACAGACAAACAAAGAAGCACACTTTTATATTTATAATATTAGTATGGATATTTTTCTTATAATCATTAAAGTAGTCATAAGTACATAATGACCTTCTTTATTACAAAAAATAGTTAAAAAAACTCAAATGTCTATGCACTTGCATTATCATAATTAAAATTTAGAAGTGGAAGATTATGATGCAAAAAGACTAATTTTTCTGCATTTTCAGGCAGTAGTTTACTCCTAGACAATGCCAGATTCAGAGAAAAGACACTCTGAAATCTGAATAAATACTATTTTCTGGCGCCAAACAAAAAACAAACACGGAGATACAATTTTTCCCGCCACGCGCTGACCGAATACTTTTACCTAAAATTTGCCTATTCGGCCAGAAAGCCCACCGAATATTCGGCGTACGGCCGAATATACTATTCGTTCGTTGCAAGTCTATAAAATACACATACATATATAATACATATAATTTAAAGTTTAAACATAATATTTGTCATAAGTACTTATAATTAATATCTTCATAAGAAAATCTATTATCTTTTATACAGTTTTTTAATCATTTACATTTAAGATGCTTGCTTTATACTGTTGTATGATTGTTTTATGTTTATTTTCCTCCTTTGTAAAGAGTGTATAAATAAATAAAAAATGGAATTTTAAAAGCAATTTATTTAAATATTAAATATTGTAATTTCATTTTACAACTTTAATTAAATTTATAATGATATCTAATAAATAATAATACTTAATTAATCTTAATTATTTTCTTATAAAATTTGCTTATTTGAAGTGAATAATTATTAAATATAAAATTTCAGGCAGTCTACGTGAATCATTAACAAGCCTGTCAGTACACATAGCCAGTGTTGTGTCTTTAAATGAATTTCTGCTTGTCGATGTTTTGCACAAAGATCCATCTAGTCTAGCTGACACTGTGGTAAGTTATGTACCTATTTATTAATTTAATTAACTTAAATTCATTTAACTCAATTTTTAAGTTATTAGTTTTATCGTCATACTAGCGACTCACCCTCGCTCTCGTGTTCGTCCCTAGTTACTTTTTAACTTTCAGTATCGATTTCTCAGAGATGAGATATTTTCCCGCAGTAAAAAGTACCCTATATTTTGACCCGGATAACTAGCTATCATCATACCAAATTTCATCAAAATGTATCCAGTGGTTTTCCCGTGATGCGGTAACAGACAGACATACAAACAGAAAAATAAAAAATATAGATTCGGCCTGTGTATCGATAATAATGTCTATTTCAATAAGATTTTTCAAGAAATATTTAATGTACAGATTCGGCTTAGTTACAATTTTATTATATTAGTATGTATAGATGAAATATGCAGCAGGACGCTGGGTGACACCTGTTTTTAATAAAATACCAAAGTTTGTGAGTGTTTATCTACTGTGCCTGCCTATTCATATTGTAAGGCTACAATGGATTTGAGAGAAATTTTGAAATAGCTTAGATTAAAACTAGCTTTTTTATCAACATGCCTACCACGCGAACGAAACCGCGCGTAAAATCTAGTAATAAGTATTTTTCTATGATACCATAGTAATTTTTTCAATTTTTAGAACAAAGTTAACTGTAAATATGATAAAAATTCAATATAGACTGTGTGCATGCAAGTGCCTCATGTTGTGATTAGTCATTATGTGAATTAAATAATAGCTAGCTATCGGCATATTGAATTAGGTTGTGATGACATTTAATAGGTTACTCGTGTTCGCTTTATCTAATGAAGCTCATTTGAATAATAATCACTGTTACATTAAGTAAACACTCCATAGTAAATTGTATATTTTATTAACTTGCTACAAATATACTATTAATTATTTCTAATAATGACACTACTTGCAGAGAATATTAAACAAAATTATTATAAGCCATTACAACTGACTCGAAAGGTTGCAGGTTCAATCCACACATTAAGCAAGAATCGTTTAATTCATGTATTTCTATGTATATACATCCAAGATTTTCTATCATGTTATTAATTCTTTTAATTTTATTTATTTCAGATATGGAAAAAACTGAAGACAATAAATTTTGCAAGCAACAGCATAAACAAAGTAGACTGGGCGATAAAATTGGTTCCGAAACTGCAGCATTTGAATCTTTCATCAAACAAATTGCCAGAGCTCTGCGATATATCGTGCCTTCATGACCTGCAAGTACTCAACTTATCTATGAACCGATTCGTTTCATGTGAAAATTGGCACGCGAAAATAGGAAATATAGTTAAAATTGACCTATCGCAGAACAAAATAGAATCTCTCCAAGGGTTTTCGAAATTGTATTCATTAGAAAGCTTGGACTTGAGTTGCAATGTAATAGATGATATAGAGGAAGTGCAGTATATTTGTCGTCTGCCATGTTTAGAATATCTATGGTTAACAGCAAACCCCGTGGCATCTTCAATAGACTACAGGGTAAAAGTTATAGAGCAATTTAACGCGCGAATGTCAGAAATTTGCTTAGACAATGAAAAGGCATCGGAAAAAGAACTGGACACAGCTCGGGTTTTACAAGCTTTAAGGATAGTCAAAGAGGGTAAGACTCCAAGTTTCTTACAAAGTAATAACAGCAGTCATAGTTTTAATAGAAGTTGACATATAATTATATAATTTTTTTTAATTTTATATTAAATAATTAAACAAATAGTGAATGTAGAATAAATTATACTATGTATACATATATAAATACCTGGTTTTTGTTACACCGTAACAATATTTAGATATTTTTGTTAAATACATTCAGTTATTATTAAATGTGCAATGTATTAAGTACATTCCTAAATATGTAAATAGTTTTTTGTAAAAAGTAAAAGGGTAACCATAATGCTTTTATAATGTAATATATTCTTTTTATTTAGAACAATTTTATTCATTATTTATATAAACAAGCATTACATTTCACTGTTCATATTTTATTCTATAAACACTTAAGGGATCACGTTTTAATGTTGGATCCTAAACAATAGTATACAGGTGCTGAGTGTATTATGTATTTATTCATAAGGCAGTTTTGATGATAGAATATGGTGCAATGTGATTACCAATATTGGTAAATAATTGGTAATATAATAATTTTTTACATTTTTTCTATCGTCAAATTATCCGGAACATCATGTATTGCAATTGAATAGTATTTTAAGTGAATGTCGTATTGACACATTAATGTGATAAAATTAAGCTTTATATTATGTATATTATATACTTAAAAGTAATAAATGAAGACCAATAACACATTTGTTGATAAATTAACTGCTAATTTTGACTTTATATTGTAAATGTTTTAAACAATTTACTTATATTTGTAATCAGTATACTTTTCCCATCATTTTCATCCAGACATTGACAATTAAATCCTTTATAAAATTAGTTTGACACATTGCAATCTGAATTGTTAGAATGAAAGGCATCATTTTGATGAAATATTATAGGATAATAGTATTTATTATACTCTTAAGTATTATATTTGTGATTGTAATATAAGAAATATTTCTAGCATACCTTTGACTCTAGAGGAGTTAAAAATTAATTTATAATAAACTATGTTAATTTAAATACCTATATTTTTATTTCGTTAAATTGTCGCTATCTTTAAGTATGTGTGTGTGTGTGTGAAACATCTATATTAATATTAGAATTCATAACCTATAACGAAACATGGAGTAAAATAAAGAAAAAATAGAGTTTCGATAATAAAATCTATTTTCCTTATTATTTTTAGTAATAATAATTACAAAATATATATGTATTCATAAATAAAATAGAAAAAATGTAAGTATTTTCGTTGCGCGTTTAGTATAAGCGGGCACACACAAAGGGCATGATGGCATGACAGCGTCACGCCGCCGTTTGCCGTCATACTACGATGCGGTTTTACCGCCAACGCGAACCAATAGACATTTCACATCAAAAATAATTATTTCTCCCTATCCTAAAGATTTCTCAAAAAATCCGAAAAGTATAATCATTCGTAAAATACACAAAATTATATTTATTAAATAAAACAACTAATAAATTTTTTTATTTATATTTTCTTTATTAAGAAATAAGCTTCAAAAGAGTCAAATCATGAACATAAAGTATATTCTAACTAATAAATAATAGTTTATGAAGCCATAAAATTAAGACAAACTCGTAGCTGTTTAATGGTGTCATAAATATATTTATAAAGTAAATGATTATAAATTATTGAAATTATATGAAAGGTGAATCCTTTAACAAATGACAATACAAAATGTTATAATTAATTAACAATACAAACTCTTCCAAGACCAACAAACCAGTCTTTTGCATTATTTTATACTTAATATTAATGTTTTTCATAATCAAATAAGGCAATTTAAAAGCCATGAAGTTCATATAAGAAAGCCATGAAAATCTTATATAAGTGATGATTTTAACTAATAAGATATATGCAAAAACTAACTGCTCAATATTAACTTTAATCAATTTATAATACAGTTTAAAAGCAGTTCACTGAAGATATGCACTTAAAATTATCACTGGCTTTTCATAGTTACATTATTTAATTAGATTTATTATTATTGCTATATAATTAGCCTAGCTTATAAAAATAAATTTACACATATGTATGATGTGTATAACTAAATTAAGATTATACTAATGCTAATTTTAAATAAAATAGTAAATCAGTATTTAGTACATTTTGTTGGGATATTTTCAAAGTAATCTATACAGATAAATAAAATTGAAGTGTCTTTTTCTAATGTCAAAAAAATTATATACGGTAGGTACTTATAAGAAAAACACAATATTTAAAACGAACGAAACGGCTGGACTGATTTTGTCGGGACATTCACTGGCAGATATCTGATGTTGTAAGGAGTGACTTAGGCTACTTTTATTTTAAAAAAGGATTAGGGTCCCTCAAAAAAAATACAACGATACCTAGGACGCACCTCCGCAAATAGAGGGTCGTGACGTCACTGGTATGAATATAAAAAACCAAAACTTTCGAAACACAAATCAAATATATTTTAAAAAGATTTAATATAAAATAACTGTAATTAAGGCAGTGGTAGTCCAGCAGTAACGCGCTCGCTTGGGAAAACTAGTGAAGCGAGTTCAAATCCCGGGTCTCGCACCTCTGATATTTTCATGTGCGGATCATTTCCAACATGATTACCACTTGTCTTAACGGTGAAGGAAAACATCGTGAGGAAACCTGCATGTCTGAGAAAACCTAGCAAGTTTTCAAAAGACATGTAAAGTCCGCCAACCTGCACTTGGCCAGCGTGGTGGACTGTGGCCCGATTCCCTTCGTACTAAAGGGAGACCCGTGCCCAACAGTGGGACGTTAAAAAAGGGCTGAATAAAACTGTAATTATTTACAGTATATCTTTATTTATTACCTAATAATTACTAGAATATATATATGTATATCGAAGCAGATGACTTCTTAACTCTGTCTCACTATTCATTTATATTTGGACGAATCTATTTATTTTATTATAGCATATATAATATAATACAACTATAATAAACTCAATAACTACACTTGATCCGATCCGGTACTCGAACCCAGGACCTCCGGATGTGCAGCCATACGTGCTAAGCACTACACTACCGAGGCAGTTACATATAATTAACAATTAAATTAACTATTTAAAATATATAGATTTGGTTATAATTTTTAATACATAATCTACGTAGACTACAGTAACGATTTTTCGGATTAAAATAATAACATGGAGTGCAAAGAAGAGCTGTTGAAGCCGTAAATGATATTATAATTTAACAATTTATAATACCATCCTCGAGTGATCGGGAACTATGTGCAATTACAAGACATTGAACTGAAGTTATTATGCCGTATTATATATGTTAGAGAATAATTAATAGAAATAACAACAACAACATTTTGCCATGTTTAAAAAAAAATGTTTGATATTTTATACACGATTCTGAGGGTAGTTGAAAGACGGTACTTGACAATAGCGTTTGACATATTTGAATTATAACGTGAGTCAGAACGTGAGTCAGTAGTGCAAATGAGCTTACTTTATTGTGAACACTCGACTGTGGCGCACGAGCATACTGACCATGGCGGACGAGAATCGCGATAGCGTAATATTAAATCCATCGACATCCGTAACATATAGTAGAAAATATTAAGAATTCATTGTTAAATATTATAAAGTTCATACGACACACATAATTTTGTTTGGCTTCATTTATTTTATCTCTATATTATTCAATTAGTTTCAATTAACGTAGATCTAAGTAACGACATAAGTATAATTCTTCCAAAAAATCTAAAAAAAGTATACAACAACGTAAGTTCAAGAAAATATATATTTTATTAAATGCATACATTACGCAGAAAGAATATGTAAAAATAAAAAGAAATTAAAATATGTTGATTAAAAATGTAAGAAAAAAACAGTACTTATAGCAAATGTAATAATAATAATAGAAATAGTGATGTTTGATGAAGTATGACGTCACAAAATGATATTACTAAATTACGAAAGCTTAAAAACTAACTGCCTCTTATATTTCTATATGAAATATTTAATCTGTCTTTATGAAGGTATGTCGGATAATACTTTTGTTAATTTAGGATATATTTTTGCTAGAAATATCTGAAACCTGAATGTTATAATAAAGATACAAGGCTGCTAGTATAAGAAGTACATAGATTAATACACAGTTCTTTCTGAAGTCATCAAAATCATCCCTGAGATAAGCATGTCCAAAAATATAATCATCCAAAAAAAAATCATCAAGCTCTATGTTAGTATAGACATTGTAATTTATATATTGAATTCATTGAAAATAAGTAAGGCATGTAGTGTAACAATTTGTCTTTCTAAACATGCGGCTTTGAATTTGCAGCGTTTTCACCTTTTTAGCCTCAAAACAATACTAGCAGCCGACCCCGGCTTCCCATGGCTACTTTTTTCATATACTTTGACACGCATTTCATCCCAGGAATACATATAAACACAAACTTAAAAGGCAGGTAATTTTTTCATATACCTACCTATAACTCACAAAGAATTTTTAAAAATTCAGTACCTAAAGAGGTAATAGTTAGAAATTTATTAAAATCCGTTATTTTTAAACGCGAGCAGGGTCGCGGGCGAGTGCTAGTTCATAATAACTTGTTGTCAACGGATTCAGAACGTGCCAGTAAAGGATATGACTTCACCATTGTCACATATAACATGTTACAATAGACATAGATAATGGACTGAGTAATATACTCATAAGTAGACCACTCTTTAGAAAGAGATGACGTGAGCATGCGGCCAAAAGGTACCTGTCTTTTAAAAAAATGAATTTATAAATCCTATTAATGTTATCAATGTTAAAGTTTGTGACGATGGCCATCCATTTGATGTTTGTTACTCAACACAATAGAATGACCGAATGTATGTGGATAAAATTTGGCATAGAGATAGAAGTCTGGAATAGTACATAGATTACTTTTATCCCGGAATAACATACAGTTCCCGTGGGATAGATTTGTTTTTGTTTAGGGACGAACCTCAAGCGAAGCGAGGATGGGTCGCTAATGAAATAAAAAAAAATATAACACTGTGATAGAAAAACGATTTGTTATAAATATCTATCTTCATTTATCGTAAATTTCAATTAATACACATTCTGGCCGCACACTCGTTTCGTCTCTTTCCGACATTTTTAGCTAATAGCTGGCAAAGAAACAGTCCATCCCCTATATCCATGCCCGTTAGCCAGATATCAGTGTGGGCAGCGTGAAGTGCCACCTGGCGTCGGTGTCCTGGTAGAGCGGCGCGCGCGCGCGCACGCCGGCGGCGGTGGGGCGCCGCGCCGGCTCCTCCGACAGCATCAGCTTCAGCACCTCCGTCTGGAAATGGAGAGTCGTTGTCAATTACTGTGCTAGGTGTATCTATTTGTGTACTTTCAATCCAAAGTTTAGTCGTTTTAGCGTTACATAACAATTATACACATACATACAAATTTTCATTTTTATATAAGTAATTCTTAAAATTTTATTACATGTGAAAAATTGGCCTATATTAAAAGAATAGCCATACATTTCATAGGATAGGTAAAGCTTACACCATTTTCTATTGGATCACAAATTTGTAAATAAATTTGATTAAGCTCTTTTTACATTTTAATCTAACGATTTTTTCTATTTGCATGAAAACCGTATATAATTCTTTTACTGAAATCTTTTATACGCCAATAATAAATAGTCTTCATAAAAACTGAATTGAATTAAAAAAGTTACCATCCCAGAGATAATGTAAGACAGACAAACAAACAAAATTTAGATGTTCTGCTAATAACCATATAAGTTAAGCTGGTCGTTTTTATGTTCAAAATGAACATGTACACGGTAGGTAGCCGAATCTGTACATTAAATATTTTTTGGAAAATCTTATTAAAATAGACATTATTATTATACCTGTGACCGCATCACGGAAAAATCACTGGAGGGATTTCGATGAAATTTGGTATGACGATAGCTGGTTATCCGGGTCAACATATAGGATACTTTTTACTGAGGGAAAATATCTCATCTCTGTGAAATCTATACTAAACGTTATTAATATAATATTAGTAATAAACACATTCATCATACCTCATTAGGATATTTCATTTGAAAATCTTCAGAGTATTTTCCGCTTTTAGCATTGGACAAACAAGCTGTCCTCTCCGCTTCAGTGGTGAAGGGGTATAGCATTTCAAAGAGTATCAAACCAAGGGAATAGATGTCCACTTTATAATTATATGGACGACACTTGATCTGCTCCGGTGACATATATTGAAATGTGCCTGCGAGAAAAGAATTTATTATAATTAATATGTAGATATATGTGATATTTTTTTTATAAAAAAAAAATTGTAAGGACGATGGGAAATTTTAGTTTGATTTGTTGCTAGGCTTATTTGATTGTATTATTTAACAACGTTTAAAATTCAAATGTGTAATTAAAAGAGAATTAATTTTTTCGTAAAATTAATTTTCAACGTTTTTTTATATAAACATGTTTTCGGAAAAGATATAATGCGCTTTATCAAAAAAAGACACATATTATAATATAGATAAACTTAAAGAGCATAACCTTATCTAAATGCGAAATTGCACCCAAATCGTTACAACTGATGTAGACGAAATAAATTTATATACACACAGGAATTACTTATTTAATAAGATATATTATTCCAGTTAGTTATCACATCAACATGTAATAAATTTATTAATCCAGTCATTCTGCTTACGATCAAGCAAACCGTATTTGTTTACCTCCTATATAAAATATACCAAAAAAAATGAAAAATAATAATGGCACATATTCTCACCAACTTTATGGGTATGTCTTGTATGTATGTCAGTATTAGCGCTCGTATCTCCACTCGAGTGCGAGTCCGTCATGGCGGTGGCGAGGCCGAAGTCGCCGACCTTCACTTTACCGTCGAGAGAGAAGAATATATTGCTTGGCTTTAAGTCTCTGTGGATGAGACCCATTAGATGTACGTATTCTACTGCTGACACTATCTGACTGAATAGCGTCTTCACCTGGAAACAATCACGTTTGTTTTATATAATTAATTAATTATTAAAATAATTTGCTTCCCAATACAATTTTCATCCCCATTTTCACCCCCTTTAGGAATGATTTCCGGGATAAAAAGTATTTTATGTCCTTCTTAGGGTCTCAAACTATATTTTAACCAAATTTCATCTAAATCGGTTCAGTAGATCCAGAGATTACCCCCTACATCGTCACAAACTCACTATTAGTTCAGATTACCTATGTGTTACTTTAGCACACATATGAATGCTTGGTTTCGCACTTATAATAGTAACCTGATAATATTAAAATTTATAATTTGGCAAATAATGAAAGCCTTTGGACAAATTTTACCACCAGTAAGTGGGTCCGTCTATTATAATTAGAACAGTAATGTCCACATGTTATCAGTCATATTTACGAATTTAGAAGCATAAAACTCTGCCATTATTTTAAACAAATAAGTGACTTAAAAAACATCTATTTGAATTTAAAAGGTCTATTGAGATATGTCCAATGTTCAATATTGCTTTCGAACTCTTTCCCCTTCTTAGTTACATTTATGGATTGCCTATTTTTGTAATACGATTACAGGATTATCTAGCGGTTTACATGAACATGATGTAGCTCAATTAAGAGTTTTAGAGTAAAATGGTCGTGATAATTATAAGAGTTTTTAAATGAAACTACCTTTTTAAATTTTTCCGCGGATCTTTCTCGAAACGTCGGGGACCAAAAATCGTTGTAAATCCGCGAAGAAATCCGAAAAGAACATTTTATTTAAAATCACCAATATTCAGGTAAATGTAAGAAAATATGTTTTATAAAGGTTCCGAAAAAGGTAACAGTAATATTACAATGAGAGGCTCACATGGTCGCAGCGCGCCTCCCACGTGTGGTTGGCGCGCAGCCAGTCGTGCAGGCTGTCGCGCCGGCACAGCTGCATCTGTATGTACAGGTACACCGCGCCCGCGCCCGCGCCGCGCGCCGGCCGCGTCACCAGGTCCAACGACCAGTGGCGCGTGTGGCCCTTCTGCAGACAGTATTATGGAAAGCATTCATTCAATTATTGTAATATACATCTATACATATAATAAAATAGTAACTTAAAGAAATCTGTATATGATTTTGATTTTGTATCTGATTTTTTTTAAAACAATTATTGTAACGTATACAAAATATAGAAACTAAAACAATAGTTATTAAATTTTTTGTCTGATCATTCTTACATCTGTCTGCGTTATACGCAAAAAGTACTGAACCGATTTTAACTAAATTTTGTGTAGTGAATACTAATAAGTTATCACTCGAGTAATAACTCGAGTCAACATTTAGTACTTTAGTATACCTTTCACTACAGGATAATCTTTCATTCCCGAAGGAAAACACAAAAACTGGTTCCATCGAGTGGTCCTTAGATATTTACATGCCTAACGCTGGTTCTAAACGCAAACGCAAAACTATGTAGTAGAAAATTATAGGTATTAAAAAGCCTACCGAAAAACCTGCAATAGCATATATCTATCTCATAAGGTACACTCACAATAACTATTTATATCTATCTTAACTGCCTCGGTGGTGTAGTGGCTAGCATGTACGGCTGCACACTCGGAGGTCCTGGGTACGAGTCCCGGGTCGGACTAAGTTTAGTTATTGGGTCTTTCTGTATATAATTCTCAGTAACAGCCCGGAGTTGGGAAGTTGGCGGTGTTTCACCCCCGTGCCTCGGAGAGCACGTAAAGCCGTCGGTCCGGCGCCGACACTCTCACCGGTCGTGTCGAGTGGTCGTCCCACCGGAGTTTTTTTTTTATGGGACTAAGGGGGCAAACGGGCAGGAGGCTCACCTGATGAAAAGTGATCACCGCCGCCCATGGACATCTGCAACACCGCAGGACTTGCAGACGCTTTGCCGGCCTTTATGAGAGTGAGAGGAATAGAGAGTGCACGTTGTGTCTGCGCGTATACTTGTGCACTATAATATCTCCTGCGCAGTTGGCTAGTCTCAATGAGATTGGCCGCCGTGGCCGGTATCGGTCAGGAGAACATCTTATATCTATTTAAAACATACTATGGACACACCCGAGCGAAGTGAGGTGAAGTTGCTAGTATTATTAAATATTACTCATTCTCAGTCTCAATTTTATAAGTATTGGAAAGATTTATATTATTTTAGAATTTAGAGACGAGGTAAATTTGATATAAGGAATAAAAACTTGCACCGGCGCTCGGCCTCGTCTCGTCGGCGCCGCGTTAGGTTTGTAGGGTAATGCTTATGCAGTGGTTATGTTGGCCATACGTAATACACTCATAAGCATTTAAATTCAAAATATTATCATATAAATAATTTTGCAAAAAGACTAATAATACCATTAAAATAAGTATATAAAATATGTATGTATGTTATGAATCGTGTCTAAAAAAGATGCAGAAACCAGCTTTTTATCAGTTACAAAATTAATCACAAATGTTTACTACCTTTTTCTTTTTACTGCTGCTATTGTTTTCGTTGAAAGTGTCACACTCTTTCACCTTTTCCAACATTTTGTTAGACATGTCTTTCCTTGCTACGTCATGACTTGAAATGTCACGAGACGACGTGACACGCTTGGACGTGTCATGACTAGACGTGACATGTTTGGATGTATCGTGGCTTGACGTGACATGCTTGGATGTGTCCTGGCTTGCCATATCTTTTTTCCCCTGTGACATGTCAGATAGGTCTGCTGTATTAGCAAATACTATGAAGGAATCATCCGCACTTGGTGTTATTTTTGGCGGAGATGTGACATCATTGCGAAGCGTTCCGGTTAAACGGGGCTCCTTTGAGGCGTCCTCATCAAATATTATACTGAAAGATTCATTGCAGCTGCTCGATCTGGAATATTTTAGAATAGTAAAAAAAATAAAAAAATAATAAGTAATTTATATTCTGTATGATGATGATGATAGATGTTAAATTTTCTCTTCATATGGATAATTATTACAAAAAATTTCATCATAAACAACAACGATGTAGCTTGGCCCAAGTAGTCTAAGAAAAAGTGCCATCACAGTTTTTCTATTTAACGTAATGAGTTTTTATACTATAATAACAGAATAATTAAATAAGAAATAAAAAAAAATTAAGAACGTGCTGTAGGACAATTTTAAAAATCTATTTCTAAATTAAAAAGAGATAGGTCTAAGGCGATGGCGCTGGGTCGGGCATATTTTGGGAATAGAGGAAGGGAATACTGCACAAGTGGCATTAAATGGCAGCCTGCCGGTCGAAGAAGACCTGGTGACCATCTAACACCTGGTCCATTGGGGCGGACCTTAGGAGGGTGGGAATCTCATGGAACAACCATGTCCAAGCAGTAGCTTAATATAAAGGGCGTACAAAGCTACTGCCGCAACCCTAAGTCACACGATATAAGTACGTATTACGTGTAGTTCGACGGATAATAGGATAACATCATCATGATCATTAAAATAAATATGAACTAGCGACTCATCCTCGCTTCGCTCGGGTTCGTCCCTAGCTTGCTTCCCAATACAAACTTTCATCCCCTTAAGGGATGATTTCCGGGATAAAAAGCTTCCCAGGGTCTCAAATTATCTTCTTACAAAATTTCATCTAAATCGGTTCGGTAGATCCAGAGATTATGCCCTACAACCTCACGAACTCACAAATTTTACCTCTTTATAATATTAGTATAGATACACAATGGTCACCTAAGTCGTCTCGGCTCGGACAGCCTCTTCTCATAGTCCAAAGCGTCCACACAGTCGTCTATGGGATTGTTCACGTTGAGCATCACACTGTTCTTCTTGGTGGGAGACTTGGCGGCGGGCGACGCCGGGGTGTACGACGTGTATTCTTCTGATGGCATCGTTTCACCTTCTAATTGACTGTAGGACGAGAAATATTAAAATTAAAATGGCGGTTTTTATATGCTTATGGAAGTCACTTTTTCCATAAATCTATGGTATTTTATAGGTTTCACTTTTAGAGGTAGAATAATTTTTTTTTAGGGTTTTGAATGTTGACAGTTAATAAGTAACAATTTCTAAATACATGTATATGGGATTATCTATTTAGCTCTTTTGTTCGCTGCTACAAATGTTGCATTATTTTTTATAAAAATAATTATAATTCTATGAGTAAGTATTTAATTAAATTAAAGAAGATTTTTGAATTGAAAACTTTAAATATACAAGACCATTATCATAATGTGGTAGTACTACTATGTCTGAGTAGTATGTACAATTTGTTTTAGTTAAAAGGTCGATTGTTATATTCCTGTACAGGATATATAGTTAAACACAGATTGATAGATAGATAGACAGATAAACAAATAGGCCGTCCCAGTTAGAACTGCAGTACAATACAGTTGTTACAAGAGTTTGGAGTGCACAAGTTAAAATATTTATATGTTTGAACTACTGAAATTGCAGTATAATTTTGACGACTCTAACTTACGACATCTGTTCGGCTCAGCGTCTTCGTCTTCGGCTTATCACCGCGAAAACCTAATGCGCAAAGTAAGCAAAACTAAAAATGTACGTGAATCCGTACACAAATAAACAGACAGACAGAGAGATAGATACATAGTGACCTGATCCAGTACTGGTCGCGCGCCCGCTGCCCGCGCGGCGGCGGCTCCTCCAGCCAGGAGTTGAAGTAGCGCACGATGTGGTCGTGCTCCAGCATGGCGAGCGCGCGCACCTCGCGCAGCACGCGCTCGCGCGCGCGCTCGCTGCGGGGAGGGGGTTGCTTTGTTTATTGGCTTTTTATTTGACGACACGTTTGGCTCAGTCTATGGTGACCCTACTTGCTGTGCCAACGGTAGCGGGTGTGAGTCCCACTGGGGGCACTCATTTTTGTGATTAGCACGAATGCTTGTATTATATTTATAATATGTACGTATTTAAAGTTTTATATATGTACTATCTGGTATCCATAACACAAACCTCGTAGCTTACCATGGAACTAGATGGTGCTGTGTGTTAATGCCTCAACATAATATTTATTTGTTTATATTCGTTGACAAACAATATTCTTACGATGAATGAAACATCGTGAAACAACCAGCATGTCTGAGAGAACCTAACAAATTTTCGAAAGACATGATCAATCCGCCAACCCGCACTTGACCAGCGTGGTGGACTATAGCCTGATCCTCCTCGTACTGAAAGGAAGCCTGTGCCCAGCAGTGGGACGTTAAAAATTACTGAATTCTGAGACTAAAGAAGTTATTGTCATTAATGTGCGATTGATTTAATTGATTTTAATGTCAAGGTACTATTCTACATTCATCAAAAATAAATCTTTATTTTTAAGGTGACTTGAACTATGAAAATGTAATTAGATTATATGTGATCGTATTTTGATACTATATCTATTATATTATACAGCATTCTTTTTATATCACAATGGCAGGTGAATTTTAATAGTAATATTAATGTGTACAGGATAAGTACCTTATATAGGTGAATTCTTATAGTGATTATTTATTTATTTTTTAATTTGAAATTTCAGATATAAACGATAATAATTGCAGAAGTTAAGGAACTATGTCGTAATTATTAAACTTAAGTATTAAATTTAGACAAAAAAAATTGTTTTTATAAATATTATATAAAAATCAACTTAGACATCTATATAATAATAAAATACTAATAAATCAAAATATTATCATTGAAAAAGATAAAAAATAATATTTCTTACTGTTTAGGCAGCGTTATCCTCTTCACAGCATACGATCGGTGGTCAATATTGTTCCTTGCCTCAAAGACCACCCCGAACCCTCCGCGACCGAGACATCTCAAAGTCGTAAACTCATTCTCATATCGAGCCACATGAGAATATTCATTACTAATAGACGGCGGTCTCTCATAATGCCTTTCAACGACTATATATTCTTGATTCATTGGCAGAGGGGTCGGTGCTCTGAATCTGGGCGCGAAAAATCTTGGCCAAAACATTAAATTCATCAAAATGGCGGAAGATACGGCTATCAATAGGACCTCTTTCCACCAAAACCATAGAGAATAGACGTGTACATGTACATGGTGGTGGCTGGGCTGGTCGTCACTATTGTTTGGTAGGACTATGTCCGGTCCCTCAATGGTGTCTTCAGATACTTGAACTGCTTGGTCACATGTGTCTTGGAGGTAGAGGAAAAAGCCTAGGTTTTCTGTAAAGGAGAAACTTTAATTTTGGATAGATGGTCTTACCGTCAAATCAACTATATTATCTCAGTGACTAAGTCACTAAGCCACTATATGACTAAGTCACTAATTCACGGTGACCCAGTGAATCAGTAATCCATTCAATTCACTAGTAGTGACTCAGTCTATTAGTGATCCAGTCACTTGACCTGTGACCTGACAACTTAGTGAATTAGTGACTTAGTGGATTACTGACCAAGTGATTTAGTGACAGTGAATACTAAGTATTAACTAGTTACTTATGAGAGATACACTTGTAAGTGTAATGAAATTTACCAATTGATGAGGTTCTAAAGGTTTTTAAGTTTTTCTAAGGACAACTCGACAGTTCTCGTGTTTTCCCATGGGAATAAAAGATTTTCCTGTAGTAAAACGTATCTTATATATTGACTTGAGTAATAAAAAAAGTCGCCTTTTTTCAATTCTTACTTGCACCATCTATTATCCATTTTAGGACAAAAAATCTAAGTAGAAAATCTGAGTAGCCCGGATTAGCGATGTACAAATATTTTTATGGCACTCACTATCTGTACTATTATAGTATTATATGATCATACCAAAAAAACTACGCCATTAGCAGCAAGAAACATTTTATATATATATTTTCTGTCATGACGTCAATCGTATATGTTAAAAGTTTGTATGTTTGTTAATAATTGGTTCGTAACGGCCTAAAAAACAGATTATAGTGAAATTTAGATATTTTATTATCTGGATTAACAGATAGGCTAAATTTTATTCTTGTACCTACCAAACAAAACCACGGGAAAATTATCTAATCAACATCTGTATAAATATTATAAACGTGAAAGTTCGTGAGTATGTATGGAAGTTTGTTACTTTTTCACGCCAGAACGTCTGAACGGATCTAGATGAAATTTGGCACAGAAATAGACTATAGTCTGAAATAACACATAGCTTACTTTTTATCCCGGTAAAATATACGGCTCCCGAGGGATAATTTGTTTTTGTTTTAGTAAAATTAAAAAATAAATAATAAACTTACCAGTCTTGCCAGTATTCCCGTGTAATGTTATAATTGCTAAATTAGTCGGGTCAGGAGATGAAAGGGCCGTGTCACTCTCTAAGAGAGGCCTCGCTTGCTTCAACTTCCATGGCACTGGTTTTATTGATATCGAAGTTTCTAGTTTTTTCGTGTACAGAACACTCTCTTGTATGTATAACTGGAAGAAAACGTTAAAATATATAAAATACTAGCGACTCACCCTCGCTTTGCTCGGGATCGCCCCTGGCTTGCTTCTCAATACAAACTTTCATCTACATTTTCACCCCCTTCATCCGGGATAAAAATCCTATGTCTTTTCTAGGGTCTCAAACTAACTTTTTACCGCGTTGGAACTTACTTTTTGGTCCGCGATGAACTCCGAAACTACTTAACCAATCTAACGTTTTTTTAAACGTATCATTTGTTCCAACTTAAAAGGAGGATAGTTTTTTCGCTATTATTTCCTTTTTTTATTGCAAAATTAACGATTTTCACATCCGGAACGAGATTTAGGAGAGAGAACCTGAGAAACAGCTATACTAAGCTAGAATTTCTACTTCCAAGCTAAAGAAAAAAAACTTATAAGTGTGCCACAGCAATGCTTGGCCGGGTCTGCTACTATCATATATGTTTTATAGAAGTATAGTATAGTTATGACTTTGTTCATGTGTGCCTTTTTATTAACCATCTTCATAAACGGTAGGTACTTAATTCAAGTGAAGGTTTTTGTGTGCAAGTTACATGATATAGGTATTAATTGAATTGATTGAGAACCGACTTTCATTTTATTATTTTTTCATTAATAATTAATTTTACGTGATTTTGGATTTGTAAAAAAATATTATTAGACCATCAAAAGACCTACTTACAATATAAAAAAAACTGTACACTAAAAATTCACACATAAAATCAACGATAATTATGACTTGCATACATTATATACACAAATGAGCTTAATCTTAAAATAATAATTTAAAACAATTTCAAACATCCATCAACACAATATTTAAATCACCTGTGTGTTATGGACTCCTAAATACAAAGATGGCGACGTCGCAGTATTCGCGTCCGTTATACTCTGCGCCGCTTCCCAGAGTACGTCCATATTTTCCAACAAACCACCTTGCAATCTCCACATACCGGCCACCGGTGATTCAAGCTATAAATAAACATAAAAATATAAATAATATTTTTTTATATAAATAAGTGTTGAAAAAAACTAGAGATATAATATTGCTAATAACAAAATTTTACGCATTAATATTCACTCGAGCATTTGCGTTCGTTTGAAACCTTATTAATGTTATAAATGCTCAAATATATTAGTTGGTTTATTCTTCTCAAAAGTAAATATCTGTAGATATTAACAACAGTATGTATCTACAAAAAAATATAAAATTATTTGTACAAAAAGGGAAATTACAGTACCCTGCAATTTAAAAAAAACGCACAATTTGAAATTCGAATTATATATGTAGACGGGACGCCCAGCAGATGTGAAACATCTTCTACATTAATATTAAAATTCACAATTAATGTCACCTATAACGTAACATGAAGTAAAATAAAGATAAAAGTAATTTAGTTAATAAAATCAATTTATTTTCCTTATTATAATAATTATAGACTACAATAATAATTACAGTATACGCGCGCGCACACACAAGGGAGTCGAGAGCCGTGGCGTAGAAGGGGACATTATAGCATGACAGCGTCACATCACCGTATGCCGTTATGCCACGAGTCGGTTTTAGTGCCAAGGCATGCTTAGATGTTTCACATCAAAATATGAAAAAAGCGTTTCAATTAAAGTGTCAAATATTCGCGGCAATCTCCAAAAACAGCATCTGTTTACCTTGTGTTGCCATAGCAACGCGTGCGAGCCGGGCCGCCGCACGGCGACCACGCCCTCGGGCAGCGCCACCGCCAGCGCCGCGGCCGCGCGCGCGCCCCCGCCGCCGCCCGCGCACTCGCGCCGGCTGAGCGCCAGCTGGTGTTCCGCCACACTGAAGTTCCATCTGTATGGATTAAAACAAACGATTTTCACCATTCATTATTATTTAATTATTAATACTTTCTTAAATTTACGCGAATATTTGACATCTATATAAATAAAAATCAATACGCGCATAACTCCGGATCGACTGCAACAAATTGGGTAATTCTTTTTTTTTGTTTGTTATTTATTTTTATATTGTCAGTTTTTTTTTAATCTCATGATCTGATTTACATGAAATTTAGTAAGAAGATAGTTTGAGCCTACGGGAAGGACAAGGGGTACTTTTTATCCCGGAAATCATCCCTCGAGGGGGTGAAAATGGGGATGAAAGTTTGTATTGGGAAACAACCAGAGACGAACCCGAGCGAAGCGAGAGAGAATCGCTAGTTTCAAATAAAACTATCTTTTCGATTTTTTTTCGCGGTCTAATTTTTTTTGGTTCTCGATGTTTCGAATTCTTTACTATAATCATGGTGATCATGGTGACCATGATTGCTGTAAAGTATCCGCAATCCGAAAAGATAGTTTTATTTAAAATTACATTCTTAATTAATATTAAATTTGGTCTTTTTCTTTATTTTCGTCCAATGGTTGCCTGGAAGAGAGTGCTCACGTAGCGTTAAGGCCGCCTCTTTATGTCACGTTTTATGGTGCACAATAAAAACATATTTGTGGTTGTAATATTATTATGACATACAGTAACTTAACAAAAATACACAATTATACAAAGGAGGTCTAAATCCAACTGTTATCATATTCATAGGTAACAACGACATGCATAAACAGTTACACGGAACAAATAAAAATTAACTAAATTAAATTAGTCATCATGCATTGATCGATTTCGATGATGTTTTAGTGAAGCTATAGCAAGTGTCATAACTGATTCCATAAACTTAAAAGTGTACATTTTTATTTAATAATAAAGAGAGAATAACTAATTTATTACTATATGAAAAAATCATTAATCATAAACGACGTAGAAAATCGTATCTGCGTAATGAATTAAGAGATAACGAAGCATAAATAACCAATCTATACTAATATTATAAAGAGGCAGAGTTTGTTTGTTCGAACGCACTAATCTCAGGAAATACTAATCCCATTTGAAAAATTCTTTTTGGATAAGATAGCCTGTTCATTGAGGAAGGCTATAGGCTATATACCATTATGTTACTACCCAAAGGAGCGGACTAGTAATCATAAATGTGAACAAATCTGGCAGACTTCTATACATCATTGTAAAACTGATGTTTATGGTCAAACAAATTCAACGCGGGTGAAACCGCGGGGCACCGTTAGTAAACTATAAATACAACAAACTTTTTTTTTTTTTTTTAACGTTGTGAAATGCATTTACGCACGAGGTGTGGGACTCACCGGCAAAGCCAGTACTACCCACTAAAACCCAACGAAACCTTCCCCCGTCTTAATGGGGCGTCGCAGGATCGCTTACGCATTCAACTACGACGCCCCGACGGCAGGTCTGCCGAAGCAGACCACAACAACCACGGGGTTGCTCCACAGTCCACTCTGCTATCAGAGAAGTACCAGGAGCAACCCGCATGGTACACTGCCCTCCGAAGAGGGCCACCTCCCACCGCCCACCGAGGTGGGCCACCTCCCTGTGCGTTTCTTGGCTTCGCGCCCGGTTGGGTTGCCGGGCACTACTGAACCCCCCCACCACGACAAGGTGAACGCACGTTGGGGGGGCAAAAAATACAACAAACTACTTAACTTGATATTAACATATTTTTTATTGTGATATCAAATATCACTTTCTGTTTTCGAACTATAATATTTTTAAATACTTATAAAAAAACTAACTGAAAAATTAAAAAAGGACAAAGGTTCAATTCGTATGCAAAAAAAAATACAATTATTGATAATAATTATAAGTCTATTTTAAATTAAACCATCTTTTCGGATTTTGTCACGGGACCGATCATATTTCCTGTAAAACATTCGAAACATCGGGAACCAAAATATTAAAAAAAAAACCCGCTACAAAATCCGAAAAGATAGTTTCATTTAAAATGTCAAATATTCGCGTAAATCTAAGAAAATATCATATAAATCTATTTGTACATCTTTTTATAAAACATGTCAAAACAAGTAATTGATAATATTTTACCCACTTTTCGGTACCAGATCTCGGTTCCAAAGCTCTCACTGTGCTGGAATGTCGTCTCAATACAATTATATCGCGGCCGGCACTCGCGGTTTCTTGTTCACTGTTACACCCACTGGAACTACATTCGTATATAATTTTGCCAGTGTGCGCGTCTACACCCACCCATAGCGTTTCTCGAGCGCCTAACAGAAAAAATAAAACACAATTTTATCTACACAATATACAAATAATAAAATTATAACGAGGTCATCATTATGTTTCAAACAATATGATGAATTGTGTTATCTATACTTATTATAAAAATAAGTCCCCCGGCCGCGTCTTTCTGTCCTCCTGTCTGTCCTCCTGTCTGTCCTCCTGTCTGTCTGTACGCGATAAACTCGAAAACTACTGAACGGATTTTTATACGGTTTTCAACAATAGAAAGAGTAATTCTTGAGGAAGGTTTAGGTATATAATTTATTATGCTTTTATGTAAATTAGCTGAAATACGGCGACAAATGTTGAAGAGGTCGCAAAAAATCTCGCCAAATGGGAACTTTCCACGCGAACGCCGCGTAAACTAGCAAAGATACAGTTAAGTAATGTACTAGAGAATTCAAAATCTATAAAAATGCTACAAAAAAGTCCGCGATAGCATATCTCTATCTCTTACGGTTGACTTACAATAACCACTTTTATGTTAACATTTTTAATTAAAAACATTACGTTATTTTCAAAGTTATTTTCTTTAGTTCGGTATTAATCCTTATCCAAATGAATATTTTAGTTAGCTTAGTCATTTAATGCAGATTAAAATTGCTCTTTACACTAAATCAATCAGATGAATAGTTTTTGAGATATCGTTGTTAGAAGTAATTAGTAGCGAAACATTTTTAATGCTTGGCGAGCATTGAGATGCCTACGGCGAGTCCATCCCCTCTGCCCCGCATCGCTCGACCGCCTGCTCAAGCTATATAAACCGGGCGATGTAGCGCGCGATCCTAGGATACTTTTTACCGCGGGAAAATATCTTATTTCTGAGGAAAAATACAAAAACTGCAATGTAAGAGTATACTAATATGTAACACCTAAGAATTTAGTTTTTGGTCATCTGAACGCGGGCGGAGCCGCGGGCAATGCTAGTATTAATATGTCCCTATATATAATGTATTTATGTTATGCCAAGTGCCTCGGTGGACTAGTGGCTAGCATATACGGCCGCAGATCCGGAGGTCCTCGGTTCGAGACCTGGTTAGGCCCAGTTCAGTTAGAGTATTTTTGTCACGAATATCTATATAACTCAGATATACATATATATAACTCAGAGTTGAGAAATTAGGTATTTCACCTCCATGCCTTGGAGAACCACGTAAAGGTGTCGGTCCTGCGCTTTAACTCTTATTGGTCGTATCGAGTAGTCGTCCCAACGGAGCATGAGAGTGACAGTAATAGAGCTGCCCTATCATATCTCAGTCATATCATAAATATAGTCCCAATAAAATTAAGCACCGTGGCCGAATTCGGCCGGAACGACGTTATTATTATTTTTTAAGTTGTAACAGATGCCAAATTTTGTCGTGGTGAGGGGGCTCAGTAGTGCCCGGAAAACTAGCCGGACGCGAAGCCAAGAAACGCACTGGGAGGTGGCCCACTTTGGTGTGCTATGCGGGTTGCTCTTGGTACTTGTCTGATAGCAGAGTGGACCGTGGAACAACCCCATGGTTGTTGTGGTTTGCTTCGGCAGACCTGCCGTCGTGGTTGAATGCGTAAGCGGTCCTGCGACACCCCATTAAGACGGGGGAATTCCGTTGGGTTTTAGTGGGTAGTACTAGCTTTGCCGGTGAGTCCTACACTTCGTGCAGGAACAAAAGTTTTTGTTGAGTGGAATACTGAAATCTGTTTGATTAGGGATGGATGTAAACGAATGTTAATAAAACAAACTATGTGTGTAATAATGTTAAATAAAATTTAATTAAAATGTTTTTTGCAATTAGAATTTTAATTTAACCAATCAATATTATTCATTTGATTAAAGAATACAACTTCGACAACTAAAGCTTTTGATAGATTCTCGCATGAAGTATTGAATACATATTTTATTTATTGAGTATATCCATACTAATATTATAAATGTGAAAGTGTGTTTGTTTGTTTGTCCTTATTTCACGTCAAAACGGGGTAACAGATTGGCGTGATTTTTTGTGAGGAGATAGTTAGGAGTTGCGTTTTATCGCGGGAGTTTATCTAATTCCCACGGGAAAATACGTTATAATAAAATCCAAAAAATATTTGTGATCAGAATTACTTGATTTTATATGTAGTTTTAGCGCGAGCGAAGCCGCGGGTTCTGCTAGTATTTAAATAAATGGACATATTTGATTTCATAACTCAATTTACAAAACAGATAAGATATAAAGTGCAAATATCATGAAGGTAAATTGTATCATTTTTAATTCTACCTTATCATAAAATTATCTTAAATGTTTAAAATTAATTAGGTAGATATTAAGAATTTACAAAATATGATAAATTTATTTTGACTGATTTTTAAGAAGTTGGAGGTTTGCTGTTTTTATATATTTTCATTTACACAACATATTTCTCATATCTAAAGTAAGAAATAAATACTTTATTTCTTTTGAGCATCTAGTACAGTAGAACACACAAGAATAGATAATGTACATTATAATAAAATTCTGAGTCGAATCTGTACATTAAATATTTATTGGAAAATCTTATTGAAATAGTCTTTATGGTTACAGAGGTCGAATCTATAGTTTTTAGAATTTTTGTCTGTCTGTTGGAACGCAACATGAGAAACCACTGGATAGATTTTGATGAAATTTGGTATGAAGATAGCTGGTAAGCAATAAATTATACATTATCTAATAGTGATTTTGACCCTAACGAAAATTTTACGGCGTATAATATATGTTCCGATCTAAGGCATCATAGCTCCCAAAGGATAGATCACCTATACATAAAATTTCTACCTGTACATAAAAACACTCATACAATAAAATAAGCAATAAATAACAATAATGATATAATAATCTATTGAACTAACAACAATATGTCTAAAATGTTTTTTATTTTAAAAATCACACAAAAACATAACATAAAAAATAAGCGCATGTATTTTCTACTAAGGACTGTCCTTCGCTTTGCTCAGGTTCATACCTAGGTGATTTTTTAAATATACTTTTTTAAATATACATAACTTCTTTTATTTATGAACCAATTTAAATAAAACAAAACTAAATATTAAATAAAGCTTGTCACAATACATTTGTAAAAACCGCACCCAAATTGGTTAAGTCCTTTCTATAGCGCGCACGAACGCACAGACAAACTGACAAAATTTTTAAAAATCATTGTTTTGGGTTCTATTGCGTTAATAAAGACCACCAATAATAAAAATTTTCTCAAATATCTTTCATGTACATACAACGATTATATGTATAGATAAGGCATTAATAAATTTCAACTTACCAGCAATAACTAAATCATCCGAATATTTGAATGATGCCGAGAGGAGTTGTTCAGCATTAAATGGTAACGGTTCAATGGAGTCTCCACTTAAGCTATACAAAGTGCCACGGAGAGATGGCACTAGTCGAGCCCATTTACCATCAGCTGTTAGCTGTTGAATAATATTAAAGTGATATTATATTTTTAAATATAATTTACATATAATAATTATAATAACACATTTATTGTTATTCAAAAAAAAAATGAAAATTCATAAGTATTTATATATTCTTAAAATGGTTTTTTAACTATTTTGTTGATATAAAACAAAAATATTTAATTGAGACTTAAATTATTGATCATATTATATTTAAAAAAAGGCAAGTGTAATAAAGTGTGTAAGTCAATACTTACTTTCAATAATTTCAATATAAAATCATCAAAAAATTGTATATTTCATTATTTTAAAAAGTATCTTATTACTAGTATATTTAAATATATTAATAAATAGTAATGTAAGATAATTAACCAACAAAAACAAAACAACAATTATTATATTAATTTATGTATTGGTCTTTAAGAAGATTATGTTCAATTTAAACTGCCTTCACAGAAGAACTACTTATGAGTGATAATTCAATTATATAAATACTTTTGAGGAAAATCAACAGTAGGTTTTATAGTTATATAACTTGAATGCAAAAAAAAATATATTTAATGGTTGAAATAGTATGATCTGGGTATGATGGTGGGTGGGAAACAACGAAATAAATATAAATATGTTGAGACATCAACACACACCACCATCGTTCCATGGTAGTACAAGGCTTGTGTTATGGATACCAGATAGTTGATACACTACACATGTATAACTTTAAATACATACATATTATAAATATAAACACCTACATGAAGTACAAACATTTGTGCTCATCATACAAATGAATGTCCCCAGCAGGACTCAATTCCATGACTGCTGCTACAGCTAGTAGGATCACTACAAACTAAGCCAAACGTGTTGTACAATATACTTTATTCCTAAATATTTTTAGTACATAATAGGTACTATACATTTTTATAGGTAACTAATAATAATAAATGAGTTTTTAAGCAGAATACCAATAAATATTGGTTTACTATTTTAGTATTATATAACAACTAAGCATGTATTGTAAAGAAATTACCTCAACTTGATGTAAATTTGATGACAACAATGGTTGTGTTTCCAAAGTCCAAACTATAATTCCATTTTCGGTAGAGAAAGCTGTAAGCTTTCCATCAAGAGAGCTGACTATCACCAAGCTGCAAAATTAGTTTAAAACTTAATATTTGAGGACATACAGCAATAAACCATTTTTTTTTAAGTAAAGATAATAAATACTTTATTAATCAAATTTCAATTAAAAAAACACTAAATTTCCTTAAAATCAAATATATATTTTTATTTTAAGTATATTTTGAACTTAGTGTGTTGATGAGTGATGAGTCATACAGCATAGAAATCTTAAAAATACTTTCACCAATATATTATAGCTATTTTTTATAATTAAGTAATTTACATGAAATAAATATGTACAGCATAATAAAATAAAAACCTAATAAATCTTAATATTTGATTAAATTGTTATTAAATTTAATCATAGCTTATGACAGTTATTTACTACTTTTTGTAAACATTTCATGAAGACACATTTGTGAAGGTCACGATTTATTAGATTAGTGTGTACAAACAAGCCTACCAAGTTTACAATTATCCAAATTCTAGAAAAATCTAGATTTATTGTATAATACATATTTGTTATTACGGTAAACTTTGTTTACAAATGCGTACTTTTTCCTTTACAATAGATTCTATTATCTATGTACTATATAATACTATTAGATTCAGTGTTTGATGCTCCCACTCACTCGTTAAAAGTTGGAATATCCTTAGCGGCATGAGGATTACAAAACGGCAACTTTTGAACGGTATCATCGGCACGAAGATAAGAAACAAAACAAGTGGTAAGCACGAGTACGGCTGTCAAGGTAATTATCCGCCAATGCCAATCCGACATATTATTTCTGCTAAATTAAGTGTGAACATCTCAACCTTCTTCATTCAGGTATTTATTTATATTACGAAACTTTTGTGAGAGTTACAGAAACCGTATAGCAAACAAACACTCTACACATAACACAGTACACTCCACAGATGATCACTTGACAGTTGACACTTCCACGTAAACTGTCAACAAATTAGCGATCCAACGAGATGTCCAAATCGATTGTCTCGATTTTTTTCATTCTTTTGTCTATTCTCAAAAATAATTGCTCTGCGCTTCTGTGCTAAAATTGGCGTTTTTTGCATCAGTATTTTTGCATTAATGTAATACGTCATTTTCAATATTATAAGTTTATAAATCCCTTATTTAAATATATTTTTATTTTTTAGACATTATGCTGAGATAAATATTTATTGGAACATTATTTTGCTTTAAAAAAGGCATATTAAATAATTTATTTTGCAGTTTATTATTATCATCCAAATTCTAATTTCAATACAAATCAAAACGAATATTTTGCATTTTTCTCCAACCAGATGGTGCGATCACTAAAAACCTCAGTATATTGTAAAGCTCTATATCGCCGAAGGTTTTTTTCATTTTATTTAAAATTTGATTAAAATGACTAATTATGCAATGCCAGAATGCAAAAAAAAAAATAGATATCATTTGTTTCCAAAAGATAAAAACTGAAGAAATTGTAGGCTAAAGCAATAAGGCGACCAAAATTGAAGAAATCACAATGTTTATAATTAAGGCTAAGTGAACATCATTTTACAGAAAGTGATTTTAAAATTCTTAAATCGTCGATAGTTGATTTTTTTTTACTTTACTGTATATTAATTACAGAGTTTAATACAAACTTTCATCCCTTATTTTACCTTCTTATGGGATTGCTTTAACCGATAATTTATTCAGATTTTGTCTTTTGGGAATAAATTATATCCATTTTCTTTGCATCGTGTCACTGTAAATTTATCATTTTAATTCAAATTTAAATACAATGAAGAAAAAAACCCTTTCAGGCTATAGAGCTTTACAATATACTGACTGAGGGTCATAGTGATTGCGACATCTGGCGGGTGAAAAAGTTAAAATTCTTCTAAGCTATGAATGGATAATAAAAATCTCTACTCCAGTCTGTGGTCTTCGCGCGCTTTTTGACAATACAAAAACATGTCTTGAAGTTTAACGGAACGGGCGGCTTAATAATTATTAATTAATTTCTATATAAAACTGTAAAAATAGTGCTATTTTTACTTTTAATTTTACACATTTAAGTTATTTTAATAATGGTTAGTGTTTTTAAGTCTTTTATAGTAATGTGCTATTGTATTGATGAATAGAAAACTTAACCAAAATCTTATTATATTATCGAATTAAATTTGAACATTTAAGTTATAAAAGTCTTTTACGTGTTTAGAGTTCTCCAATACCCGATACACCGGACAGAGATGGTGCCCAATCTCGTATGACATCACCAGCTCGAGAGTATGAAATGTTTGAAGATGAAGGTGCCATTCTGGGTGACAATGCCGATGAAGAAGAGGAGGATGGAGAGGAACTTTTTAATGATAACATGGAAGCGTAAGCTAAACTAAAACTTATAAATGAACATTTAAAAAAAACAAATCATGTAAATGATAAGATTTCATAGTCTTAAAAAAGAGATCATTTATATTGTAGGGAAGAGTACCTATTATGAACCATGAATATAATAATGATGCTAATTTCATAAAGCATGCAATAAACTACAATTCAAAACTTATTTGTTTTTAGTGATTATCGTCCTATGCCAGCATTGGATAGGTATGATACTGAAAATCTGGATGATGATGATTATGATGCTATGTCCATTGAAGATCGTGTGGCAGCAGAAAGAGAACTTCAGAGGAGAGACAGAGATGAGGGAAGGATGAGAAGAGATGATCGTGATTTATTATATGGTAAGCAGACTATTCTGTGACAATTAAATACCTCAACATTATATTCTAAGTAACACAATTATTTTAGAGTAATTTTGAATATATTGATACCTATAGATGAATCTGATGAAGAAAGTGGAGATGCTCCCCGTGCTAAGCGTCGCAGGGCTGCAGAAAAGGCAGCAGCGGGAACAGATGAGCGAGTTGAAGAAGGAATTGAAAGTATTGAGAATTTGGAGGACACTAAGGGCTACTCTACTAAAGAATGGGTATCCATGTTGGGCCCTAGAACTGAAATTGCTAATAGGTAAGAGATAGCTATAATAAAATGTCAGTAGTAAGTTTGAAAGGTAAATGAAGTCGTGTCATTGGTTTTGTCCTTTATTATTAGTGCCTAACTCGTGGAGAGCTTAAGAATTTGAATAAGTGGTAATAAACAATTTCTTAGTAATAGTATCAATTTATTTTTTCCAAAATATATTGACTTTCTATGTGGGTATGTTTAGATATTAAAGGGGACTCGAGGCATATTGCATCAAGTTATTTTAAAAAATGAATTCTGGGCTGCTGAGTGTGGTCCACATCATAGTCTATTTGCATACTAAATGTCATCCAAATCCATCCAGCCATTTTACCATGAATGAAACAAACATACAAACTTTAACATTTAAAATAGTAGTCCAATATTTTAAATTATTTCTTAATTTGTTACTAGAGGCTCACCCTCGCTTTTCTCGGCTTCGCCGCTAGGAAAATGAAAAACCTATCCCACGGGAAACATATATTTTTTCGGGTTAAAAAGTAGCCTATGTTATTCCAGACTATTATAATCTATCTCTGTGCCAAATTTCATCCAGATCTGTTCAGCCGTTCTGGCGTAAAAGAGTAGCAAACATCCATACTCACAAACACAAACACATTTATATAGTAGTAAGGTACTGTTTATATTTCACAGGTTTAAAAACTTCCTGCGGACCTTCACAAATAGCAAAGGCCAGTTTGTATACAAAGAGCGTATACGACGAATGTGTGAACTCAATCAAGCATCATTCCACGTAGAATTTGATGTATTAGCTCGCAGAGAGCAAGTTCTGGCCTACTTCTTACCTGAAGCACCTTTCCAAATGCTACAAATATTTGATGAAGTGGCTAAAGAGATTGTACTGCAAATATTTCCTAGTTACGAGCGTGTAACATCTGAGATACATGTACGCATAGCTGATTTGCCATTGATAGAAGAACTGAGAACATTCCGGAAGCTTCATTTGAACCAGTTAGTGAGGACTGTGGGAGTAATAACAGCGACTACAGGTGTGTTGCCGCAATTGTCGGTTGTGAAGTACGATTGTAATAGATGCGGCTATATTTTGGGTCCATTTGTTCAGTCCCAAAATTCTGAAGTTAAACCTGGTTCTTGTCCTGAGTGTCAAAGTGCTGGACCTTTTATGGTAAGTTGAATATAATTAAAAAGTTCTTTTTTAGAAGAAACATCTTATACAGTGTTATGTTACATACATAGCGTTGAAAGCCATTGGTTTGATTATAATGAGCAGGAAATTTGATTAGTCCAGACTCATATTAGCTGTTCTATTAAAACTATATAAAAAGTCAAATATTTAATTATGTTATTAATAATCACACACAAAATAATTACCATAATTACATTATATTTCTAGGTGAATATGGAACAGACAGTGTATAGAAACTACCAGAAGGTTACAATACAAGAATCTCCAGGTCGCATTCCAGCTGGTCGTATACCGAGGAGTAAAGACTGCATACTACTTGCCGACTTATGTGATAGATGCAAGCCCGGAGATGAAGTGGATCTCACAGGCATATATACTAATAATTATGATGGCTCCCTCAACACTGAACAGGTTATTATTAATATCTATGTATAAATATACTTTAAAAAAATTTGCACTCTTAACTCCAAATTGTAGAGAATTTATTACTACTATACTTTTAATGAACTAAAAACTATGTTCCCTCAACAACTTTTACTCTTTTTTTTAGTTCACTTTTTACATAGTGGTTTTTTTTTGTAGTTTATTATATTTTTTAATTCCAGGGATTCCCAGTATTCGCAACAGTCATCATCGCAAACTATATAGTAGTGAAAGATTGTAAGCACATTGTAGAATCCCTAACAGATGATGATGTGGCTAACATTGTTAAACTGTCGAAGGACCCGCAAATTGGAGAGAGGATTATTAAAAGTATTGCCCCCTCTATATATGGGTATGAATATATCAAACGCGGCTTAGCTCTAGCTTTGTTTGGCGGAGAACCTAAAAATCCAGGTAATTTTTTTTCTATAATTGTTATTATTGATTGGAAGGTAAGAGTTTTTATATGTAATTTTGTTCTTTAAGAATGATTAAAGTATCAACTCTTTATTGTTTTTTTTTGCTGACAACTTTGTCATGCTTTCTGCATCTACAGTACCAATATTTTGGTTTAAATGATCTTAGTTATAGCTTTATTATTCATATGAATGAGTGAATATGTTTTCTTTTTAATTTTTATTATTTCGTTTTCAAACAAATTGTTATATTGTAGGTGAAAAGCACAAACTAAGAGGTGACATTAATGTTCTAATATGTGGAGATCCCGGTACGGCTAAATCACAATTTTTGAAGTACACAGAAAAGGTATGTCAATATGATTATTTTTTATTTAATTTTCTACTTTCAAAACAAATAAGAACTTGTCTTTTTGTGTTTATTTTTTGTGAAATATGAATGTACTTTATTATAAATTTATTTATTTATTTATTTTTAATGCTGCCCTTGAAGATGGATTAGATAAACAATGGTAAATTTGTTTTTTTTATGTATGTCATTTATGAAGAAACAATTTTAACGTGATTTTAATTTCGATATACTTTTAAGACGAAAAAAAATTATTGTTTAAGTAGGAAGTGTAAAGAAAAACATTCTTTTATTTTTTCACAATTTTGGCTTTAAAGTAACATCGTTATTAAACAAAAAATGCTTCTTTTTTGTGCCCTTGTATCTAAATCTAAATACATTCTTGGTATGTTTTTTTTAGTGTAAATATTAATGTAAGTTGACCTCCACTATGTTTAAGTAAAATAACAGGTTTACCAAATGCCCAAAATTAATAATAAATTAAAAATCTTTTCGGATTTTTTCGTGGATTTATTTAGATTTTTGGTTCCCAATGTTTCAAATGCTTTACAGCAAGCATGGTCACGGGAAAATCGTTTCCGAAAATCCGAAAATATAGTTCTATTTAAAATGTCAAATCTTCACGGAAGAAACTAAGGTTTTAGACCCACTCATAAAATTATACAATGATTTCAAAATAACAAAAATGGCACCAAAGTACCTTAGATTTTTTTTTTATTTTAAAGATTTTTATAATATTAAATGTTAAATTTTAAAAATTAAATTCAGATCGCACCTCGCGCCATATTCACGACGGGGCAAGGCGCCAGCGCCGTTGGTCTCACTGCGTATGTGAGGAAGGATCCTACTACAAGGTTCGTATTGATAATTGTGTTGTTACTTAGACACTTTTTATATAAATTAGGTGAGAATTTAGGTTTTTAAAAACCAATACTTTAAAAGAGGTTAAATTAGAAGTGGACTCCAAAAACAAAAATGAGAGTTTTGTCAATTTTGTTTTTGAAGTTAAATTAGTATTGATGTGTAAACTTTGTATTGCCTGTTTCTTCTTCTATTTAGATTTATACATACTCTGTAACTTCTGAAATGACTAATATAATTCAATTCTTTATTCTGTGGCTTTAAAGCGTGCCAATTAAAAGCACATATCTGATATAATTAAATAATTATTTTACTGATAGCTTAGTCTATTTTTAATTAAGCCATATAGTGTTCTTTATAAAAGCCTCTAAAACCAGTTATTTATATATTACCCAATATATTCCAGAGATTGGACGTTAGAAGCGGGTGCATTAGTGCTAGCAGATAGAGGCGTGTGTCTCATAGACGAGTTCGACAAAATGAACGACGCAGATCGTACTTCCATACACGAAGCCATGGAACAGCAGAGTATATCTATATCTAAAGCGGGTATTGTCACGTCGTTGCATGCGAGGTAAGGATGATTTCTATGTGTATACATTGTATAATAAAACAAAGTTGATATTTGCGTCTGTCTGTTTCTCCGCTTACTTCTTCTAAACCGCTCAACGGATTTTGATACGGTTGTACTAATGCTATAAATGAGGTAGGTTTGTGTACATGTCACATGTAAATTGTAAAAACCGTTAAATTATAAATTGACTAGTGAAAGTATAACTACATATATTATACAAATATATTAATGTATTTAATATATTGAAAACAAACATTCAAAACGTTTTCTATCAATACAACAGTTAAAAGTAGTTTTAAAATTAGATAGGTAGGTCTTGACCTACAAAGAATATACATAAAAACGCGTATTTGTTTGTGTCCATCTTTTACTAAACCCATTATATTAAGAAAATAATTTACCAATATAATATATCGCATTTACCATAATATTTACCACAGTGTTCTATCTCCAGATGCTCGATAATAGCAGCGGCTAACCCGATAGGCGGCAGATACGACGCGTCGCTGACGTTCTCGGAGAACGTGAACTTGTCGGAGCCGATCCTGTCGCGCTTCGACGTGCTGTGCGTGGTGCGGGACGAGGCCGACCCCATGCAGGACGCTCATTTAGCCAAGTCAGTGGTTTTCGTTTTAACTTGGTAAAACTTTTTTTGCGTTTATATTCAACTGGTAAAAAAATAGTTTTATTCATATTCATTAAGTATGAATTTGTACCACAATAAAAAATAAAAATAAAATGCTTTTATTAATAAATACATTACTTGAAAACAGATGAATTGAATTAACGATTTATTTTTTAAAATATGTATGTTCAATTAAGGATTTTAAGCGAAAATATTGGAAGTATTTCGCGGAATATTAGGAAATGTAGGAAAAAATAAATTTTTCTATAAATTTAAAGGACATAAGTTCAATGAGAACAAGACGTCTGTCGAGTCAGCTGGACTAAATAATTTAAAAAAAGATATAACAGAATTTATTAACTCCGCAATTAAAATTTGTGTATTTTTGTGTGTAATGTTTTAATATTTTATCATTTCTTTTTCTGTTTACTAGGTTTGTAGTAAGCTCTCACATCAGACATCACCCAACACAGCGCGGCACTGCACTGGAAGACAGCACTCCGGACAATGACTTCATTTTGCCACAAGATCTCTTAAAGAAGTATATTGTGTATGCCAGAGAAAATGTTCATCCTAAGTTACAGGTTGGAAACTATATTACTTTTATATCTAACATCATTTTTTTAAATTGCTAATATAGTTTATTTAGCCCGTTTTAACGTCTCACTGCTGGGCACGGGCCTCCCTTCAATACGAGGGGAATCAGGCCATAGTCCACCTCGCTGGCCACTAAGGCGAATACTAATCAGTATTAGAGCAATTACAAAAGCACTCTAATTCTGTCACTCTTATACTCCTATGGGTTGATAATTTGATTTTCTGTATGAGAAATCACTCTTCATTTTTTTAATGGCAACCAGTACGTTATAAATGTAATGATCAGCATTACAATATCAAATTTAATTTAATTTAGGAATAAAATTATATATACTACTTATCTATATGTACTCATGGTATAGAGACAGAGTTAGTTACTCAGTAACTATTAATACGATGTGAAATTTTTTTTTGCATTAGATAGCCCGTTTATTGAGGAACAATATAGGCTATATATCATCCCGGAAAAATGTACGGTTCCCGTGGGATAGATTTGCTTTAGTCTAGAGACGAACTTGAAGCGAAGCGAGGGTGACTCGTTAGTCTAGGATGGATAAACCCACTAAAAATATAACAATATACCAAATGTGTATACATTTTTGCTATAGAACATGGATCAAGATAAAGTGGCGAAAATGTATAGTCAATTGCGTCAAGAATCTCTAGCTACTGGCAGCTTGCCCATCACTGTGAGGCACATTGAATCTGGTGAGTGTTGTTTAGTTTATTTTTCATGAGGCTTTCTTACAGGGACGAACCTATATATTGAGTTTTCTGGGCTGCATTCCAAGGCCCCTAAGATATAACGGGCTTCCTGTTCAATACAATGGATAATATTATACTTATATTATATTATTTATTGAACTAAAAAAGTAGTAAAAAACATGGAAAATAACGTGGACAAAAGTGGACTTATCTCTAGAGGTCTCTTCCAGTCAACCCATGTATGTGGGAAATAGTGTTAAGTAGCGGGGCAGAAATAGAAAGTGCAAAGAAACAAATATTGTTAATTTATAAAATAAAAAAAATTAGTAGAATAAAATAATAAGGTTATTTATGGGTTTAAGGTTAAAGGTCACCTTTTAAGGTTGGCCTTATAACAATCTTAAGATCACTTAAGTATCATACAATAGCTTTATTTTAATTTCGTTTAGTTTTAAAAACAATATTAGGCTAATAAAGTTTGATTACATATTTTAAAATTTATTATTAACTAGCAGAACCCGCGGCGTCGCTCGCACTAAAACTACAAAAAATTTCTAAAAATGTATTTTCATACAAACTTTCATCCCCTTTGAAAAATGCTAAAACACGTATATATTTAATTTTATTGAAAAGCATTAATACCAAGTTTCAAGTAATTCTGATCATAAATATTTTTTTGGATTGTATTATAACGTGTTTTCCCGTGGGAATTAGATACTCTCCCGCGGTCAAAAGTAGCCTGTCACTCTCCAGCCTTCCAACTATCTTCACATCAAAAATCACGCCAATCCGTCACTCCGTTTCGATGTGAAAGAAGTACAAACAAACACACTTTCACATTTATAATATTAGTATGGCAGTATGGATATTAATTCCATCTGTATAAATATAATAAATGTGAAAGTTTGTGAGTATGGATGTTTGTTACTCTTTCGCGCCAGAACGGCTGAACGAATCTAGATAAAATTTGGCACAGAGGTAGACTTTCCCGGAAAAATATACTATTCCCATGGGATTGATTTGTTTTTGTTTGTCACAGTGTGAGTTGCTAGTTTCACATAAACATCAAAAACAAATCTCTGAATTAATCGTAATATGTACCTGAAGAGATTTTGACAGCTGTACTCTACTCACGGAGTGAAACACGCAAATTGCTTTCTCTGTCCCACATTACCATACAAACTGATAAAGACAGAAAACCGTCTAGCTCCGCCCACTGACACTTGCAACTGGTTTGAAATCATAGGGCTTGTTCATGTTGCTAAGCTTTAGTAATGAATTATTAATAATTTGTAATAAAATAAAATCAACATTAAAGTAAAATCAACTGTATTTTTAAATATTTGTAAACATTATTTATTAATTTTCTGTTTCCGACGTATCACCGTCATCTCATACATCATACATTGATAGTAAATCAGGTAACTACACGAGAGACGTTTGAACGGTATGAAATGCAACGACGGACTAATTATGACTTGCATTGTAATCGCGGCCTAAGCGTCTTATCTGCAACTAATCACGTGGAAGCGCAAAATCTCAGTGCTTGGTTCATTCGGCGAATACAATATAATTAAATAAAATATATCTTCAACAGTGATCCGTATGAGTGAAGCGCATGCACGTATACATTTACGAGCGCAGGTGAACGAGGAAGATGTTAATTTGGCAATACGAACCATGTTAGAGAGCTTCGTTGACACACAGAAATACAGTGTGATGCGAGCTATGCGACAGGTGAGATAAATAAATATGTTGGGACATTAACAGAATATCATCTAGTTACATGGTCTGCTGCGAGACTTGTGTTATGGATACCAGATAGTTTATACACTACACATATATAACTTTAAATAGATACATATTATAAATATGAACACCCGTGACTGGGGTACAGACATTCGTGTTCATCGCACAAACGAATACCCCCAGCGGGACTCGAACCCGCGACCGCTGGCACAACAAGTAGGGTCACTAGAAACTGAGCCAAACGTGTCGTCAAAATTAACTCTTATAATCAAATCCTTGGAGTAAATTACATGTAATCAATGCTCGCAACCGGTTAAAAAAAAGGTAAGGTAATTAATTCATCACTCGTTCATTAACCAGTTAATAAAAATGGTTTAGTAAACCGAAACAATAATGATTAATGGCTATTCTTAAGAGAGATTATACTTAGGTTATGATACTGAAATTAACCGGTTGATTTATTCATGAGTGAGATACGTATATGTATCCTTCTACTAAGCAATTCAACATTAGCAAAGATTCGCCAAATGTAAACGCACAAAATCTCATTTTAATCTGTTAATTTCTATCCTAACTTAAATTCGTCAAAAATCTTTTCTGGGGTTTGAACCGGTTAAAGACGGAGCCGAAATCTTAAACCGAAAAAACCGGTTTCAAAATTGAACGGGTCACAGTGCCCTACTTTTAAATGATATAAACAAAGCAATAAAGTTAATTAAAGCATGCCAGAATAAGACAACCCGTGTGGTTGTTTATACAAGTAAACACTCCAGTTAACAAAATTATTTCTATTACAGACCTTCCAGAAGTACCTGTCCTACAAGAAAGACCACAGCGAGCTCCTATACTACATTTTACGACAACTTACAATGGACCAGCTTGCCTACATGCGGGGACTTCACAACCATTCCCAGTCAACCATTGAAATATCTGAACGAGACTTAATAGAAAGGGCCAGACAAATCAACATTAGTGACCTAAAACCATTCTATGAGAGTAGGATATTCAAAATGAATAACTTCAGCTATGATCAGAAGCGAAAAGTAATTATACATACGTTGCTTGATGTGCCCAGCTCTTCGTAAGGCTTTAAAGTGTTTTTTTGTGATTGTTAGCTTTGTGTTAAGTTTTTATGTTTGCTCTCAGTCAAATATAAGTTTAAAAAAGCAGTAAATCATTGTACCACATATATGTATGTTCTATTACATACAAAACCTTACAGATTTTCTTGAATGTAAATAGATTTAAAAACAAATGTGTGTGTGTGTACTTATGTATGTACGTAAGAAGTTATACTTCTTTGGTGTAACAGAATAAAAATAGCTAAAGATTTCATCCCATATGTCACAACTCTCTCTTTGTACAAGGAATGATAAATTAATAAAAACGAATATAATTTTTCTATCTCCACTGATATAAAACACAGATTTTTGAATATTTGGGAAACTATTTTGAATATAGTTACGAGTTTTCACGGGAACTGGAGATACATATCAGCTAACTTCATCATGTCGCTTTTTGGCTGTCGGTGTGCGCGGGCATTGTAAAAATTTGACTCTTATAATTTTTCCAAACGTGCCAAAAGGAGTATAACTTGATAAATAGGCAGTCATGGGGACTGCGACAGTAGCATGTCGGTGACGCGAACCCATAACTTTTCCCTCTACCAAAACAAGTTTTCTCTTGTACTGTTATAGAAATTAATAATGTTGAATTCAACATCACTGACAATTGTTTTTTTTTAATGGAAGATTATTTCAATAAAACATTGTTATGCAATCTTTTTATATATTATGTATTTTTCACTTTGAATTCAAAGGATTTCTTATATTTTGTGATTTTTGTTAAACTTATACCCACCAATTGCCACACAATTTTTATAATAATTGAATTATGTGCCTTAGCTTAGAATAAGTACAAACTTTTTTATAAGTTCAAATTACATTATCAAAGTCTAAGAGCCAGGTTCAGATATAGGTTTTATATCAAATGTTCAAAATGTCTACTTTTAAACTGGAAATCTTTACTGTATTAATATAATAAAAGAATATAAATAAAATATGTAAAAGTTATTCCTTTGCATGTACTTCTCACGAGTTGACAGATTAATTTGTGAAATAAAACCAGCTCACCAGTTACTAATAAAAAACTGGCTACTTAAAAAAAATATATAGAACTGATGAACATTTATTATCTTATCACATATGGTGCTTCTTCACAGCAGTTAAAAATGTTAGATAACATTACATAACATTCTTTAACACAAAACTGTTTTTAACATTCTGTAATATAACTATTGTTAGATGTTTTCAAAGCCACACTGATAAAACCACTTAAAACTACGGATTAGTTTGGTTCTATATTTAAAAAAGTATATTTTTATGGTTTTTTTAATAAAAGTTACTAATTTTTACATTTTGTTTCAAATTGTTAACATATGTGAGAATAGAAAATATTTAATAACTTTTGTTATAAAATGTTTTTTTATCAATTAAATGTTCACTATGCTTCCTAACAAATGTCGACTAACATTTTTGAACTCGTGTGTGGAAGCACCATTGCACAAAGTATAATAACAAAACTAAAATTAAATGCAAATACTTTCTAAAATTATTAAAAATAAACACATTTATGTATAAAATCTGATTAATGTATTATTTAATAATTTGCATTTCTTTATCCGTGTAATCTTTGTATGTTGCAGCTCTTAGACTCCTTTTTACTGTTAATTAAATTGTGAAATAAAAGAATATAATGACTTATCCAAATTGTTTAATTCATTTTATTTCGAAATTCCATATTTTCTTAAATAAATAAAAACAATTTAACTTCAGAAACATTTTACATACAGTCTTAAATAGAAATAGTAAAATAGAGAAATACACCATCTACTACAATAGTTATATTTTTAAAACTACAATATTAGCATGTTTTTACAGCTTTTAAAATTATATATTCATCTTAAATTATGTCATAAAACCCATTAAACTAAAATAATCGCACAAAATATAAAAGAATCTATATTTTCGTACAAATTAATCTTATTTACTGTTAAACAATAAATATATTAACTTACAACAATTTTTACACGCCTAATATAATTAACATAAACTAAGTCACAAAACTAAAGTCTCAATTATTAGCCGTAAAGTAAACACTAAAATAACCATAAACTTTCAATTTATAGCCAGTATTCAATAAAGACTCATAGAAATAATCGCTTATTCTAATTTTTAAATGACCAGCATCTTGAGTTACTGGCGAAAATCTTAATTATTTGTAGTTTTCTAACAAAGTATGGAAAGATAGATATCAGATATAGGAAAAGGATAATGAAAGTTCCTACAACAGACATTTAAGTTACAACAATCACTTTAAAAATGTTAGTTTATAGACATTTATGTGATATATAATGTAACAGCTACGACATCGAGTTGTGACTATTAGGCTAGATCAATAAAAATAGAAATATTTAGGTTATCAGAGTAAAACTCTCAACTAGAAGTTCAGAATGGAATCAAGACATTCTAATTACACACATATAGTTAATATATTTTTTATCGTAGCTATAAAAATAAAAGATAGAATCCAGAATAAAAAAGTCTTAAGCACGAATTAATAAAACAAAAGGGAAAAATTATCAAAACATTAATACACATATAATTAAAAATAAAATCAATTCACTTTACAGCTTCAAGCCATTACCATTATAGGACTTTGAACATTAAAGGTAAGATATACTATATTAATTAAAATACTCTCAAATAGGAATAAATTAATAAAAGTAACCTGGTTATTTAACAGTCGCTACATGACTCAGACCCGCTGCTGCTACCACTGCTGCTGTCACTCTCTGAGTCACTGCTGCTGTCACTTGAAGAACTGGAGCTCCCAGATGAAGAATCTGATGAACTCTCTGACGAGCTACTCCCCGATTCAGAGCTGCTTGATTCACGTTTCTTTTTATTTGGTATCTTGCATGTGCCATTGCTATTGTAACAAATAAATTGGAATAAGGATAACAGTATCAATAAAACTGAAATATAAAATTTGATTTTATAGTTAAGATTATTATTATTATCAGTTATAAATTTAAATTATTTTCCATCTACCCTCAATCCAAACAATATACTAAGTACCAAAATTCAGTACTTCTGTACATTAATGATAAACAATGTTTATAATTATTACTGTGCACTACTAATAAACTGTATAAATTAGGCAAATGTGATATTGATATAAATAAAGTAGCAGATATTTTAAATAAAAACAACAAGAAAGAGGGTAGAATATAATTTGTATAAAATCATTGGCCAGGAGTGTCTTTTGGTGTTTAAATCTTACCTGCAGTCATTTCCTTGCTTTGCTTTTAAGTTTTTCTTTAGTATTTGTGATCGGGATGGGCGCACCAGCAATTTGCGTTTTCCCTTGCATTCGTAGCTCCAGTGGCCATATTCGAGGCATTTCTGACAGCGTATGCCTTGCGGAAATGCAGCCGCTAACGCTGCCTGCCTGCATTAAACGTAAAGAAAAATTTATGAAAATAAAATAATTGTAAATATTTAATAACAATTGAGCTAATTCTGAGAACTATGCTTACTTTTTTCGTTCAGCTTGATGCCTGTTGTAGGTGCCCAAAGTCATTTTGATCTAGAATCGAGTTCTGGGTAGCTCAAATCAAAGTCCTGATCGACAATTGTCCAGCAACTGCAGGTAGTTACAAATAACTAACAGAATATTTAAATGAATGTCCTTGTCCTCTGTGATCGCAATTAATTCTAATTTCTCATCCGAAATACACAGCTATATGTCAAGCGTGGCCATCACAAAATTGTCAAACTTGAAACACACCATTCATAATGATACCTGTCAATAAAAAGTTATAAATAATAATTGATTGTCAAGAAAAAAATAATTTATATAAAAACAAATTATTATTCGTATAATATTATATTGTAATTAATTAAATTATTCAAAATACCTATATTTTTCGTAAATTTATGTATTCAAATTGCACACAATATAATTATTTTGGTTAATTTTTAAATGTTATTTTTGAATAAAAATAATTTATCGATAATTTTTTTTATTAAAGTATTTATACGTACTTACAAGCATTTATTATGAGTTAAAAATGCTCTTTTAATTAATTAAATTTACTCTACATCAGACTCCATTGCATTCAATAAAATTTTGATTTTTGGATGTCAATTGACATTCAATAACATAACCTAGAATTTTTCGATATTTTTGCATTTCTAATGACAAGAGAAATAATTTTGTTTTCTATAATTAGCGAAAAATGGCGAAATATATTGCTCAAATAATAGTCTTAGGAGCTCAAGTCGTTGGGAGAGCATTCGCGAGAGCTTTGAAACAAGAGTTGGCTGCATCACAAGAAGCTGCAAAAAGAGCTGGTGGAGGTCAAGAAGGCGCTAGAAGAGCTGCTGCAAATGCTTCAACAGGATTAACATTAGAAGAAGCTATGCAAATTCTTAATATTGAAAAATTAGACCCGGAAAAAATTAAACAGAGTTACGAACATTTATTTACATCAAATGACAAAGCTAAAGGTGGTTCCTTCTATTTACAATCAAAAATTGTTCGAGCTAAAGAAAGGATAGATACAGAATTAAAAAGTAGCCAATCACAATCAAATCAGACACCACCTAAGGCTACTTCATAAACTATAATTATGAAACTAGAGGTTTAGAATGTTAATATTTTGTTGTAGATATTTAGTAAAATCCATTTGTTTTATAAAATATTTATTATATCAAAATGGACACAATAGTGACTAGAATACATCAGTCTTTATACTATAAAACTTGATTATGTATAATAGTTATGGCAGTATATAATGCATCATAGCAGATATGATTTAGCTTATAAATTGCTTAAGCATGATATGAAAACCAATAAATTTCCCTAAGCAATACATTTAGTGTTTATTTTAGTGTATATATTTCGTAATAAATTGGCTAATTATGTCAACATTTTGTCTTATAATTATAAATCTAGCTGATTCTACTCCTTTTAAATGGCTCCAAATTGTTATTACAATTGCGTCAAATTAATACAAAGTTAAAGTTATACAGACACTTATTGAAATATTTAAACACACCTCATGATTATTATTATTAACCCAATTATTTGGAATTAACTTAATTCTTAAATGACTATTATTATAAAATTACATTGTGTTAATAACAAGCAAATACATAAAATTCAAAGCATTCTTCAGTATAAATGCTCGCAGTAAGAAAAAATGTACCTCAACACCATATATTATGAATAGAATACTTTCTTAAAACTATGGACTTTCAGAGGCAAAATTATTACATAACTATGACTAGAAAACTATATAAATATGGAAGCATTTGAGCAAAAGAGGACTGTAATAGATTTTTTGGTTAAAAATGACTTATACCTAAGGTTTAAAAAGGTTCAAAATATTATAAAAAACCTGTCTTTTCCAATTTTGTTCCCAATGCATACTCATTGTTGTCCCATATCCATATGATTCCATGCACACCTTACAATATACAAAATGAAATAAATTATAAAAATAAATGTCTTTTACATGGTAACTTTTTGACTAGAAATATAAGTAAAATATAATTGTAAATAATTTATAAAGCTTTTTATAATAAATCTTTGTTTATATAATTATTAGGATGGCAGTGTTAATTGCAGCTGGAATAATAGAAGTAAATAATATCTTGCGCTTGAATATAAAATCTTGTCATGATACATGATGCTTATATTTGCATCCTTTTATATTGCTAAGTTAATTTGTAGCAATTTTATTATAGAAAGAAATTAGATATGAGAAAGATTATAATATTTTCAGAACTGCTAATATATCAGGCTGTCAGTGCAAGAACAGCCTAACCCACATTAAAAAAAAGTTATAAGTTGTCTACAATAAATTTAGTTCAAAATAAAATAGACTAAAATTCAAAAAGTCAGAAAAAGTCTAGTTAGCGTTAAATGAAAAACTATAAATAAATTTTAAAATATATGACAATATTTAAGAGCCACTTTTCTCCAAAATAGCCTGTAGTTTAGGCTATGTTTGCACTGACAGCTCATGTAGTATTACTTATAGAATTAAGGTTATTAAACAATTAGTATTAAACAATTTGTACTGAAACTATATTAAAGTATTATGAAATATGATAAACTTAATGAACTCGTCTACAATGTTCTTTCTATAATAACAGGACTACTTACTACACAATATATTATAAGTATGGATTTAAGTGCCTTTTACTATTTCACATCCATCAAGACAACTACTTCATATGGGCTACACTCGGACATACCTAATGTATTGCAGAGCCAGCCATAAAAGCCTTTTTCAAAATCACATACATCTTTCCACCAGTTAGCGCCACTGAAAGTGACTTGTGCTATCCCAGCATATAAACCGAGCCCAATAGTAAATATTGCTATCAAAAATGGATATGACAGTATTACTATAGGAGCTAACAACATCTTTTTGATGCAGCTCAAGTCTTCGGTAACATGAGTAAATATGTTATACCAAGCCATTGTACCCATGTAAAATGAATACATAGCTGATATAACTGCAACAAATGGTATAGAGACCAAACTGAATAAAAATATGTGTGGCCCATTGTATAAAGAACATTTGGACACATCCATTTTATTGTATTCTTCGGCAACAATGGCCGCTTCAATAATTTCCAACTCCTCTCGTGAAATATTCAGTTTAACATCTACATTCTGTCCTTTCTTTTTACCCCTTTTTATTGTTCCAGTCATGGTTAAATATCCATCTTTATTTTCAGATAGTGAGCATTCCGGAGATATAGATCCTTCAGATTCAATTCTTAAAGCTGTAATTTCAGTATCATTATTGTCTCCTTCCATAATGCCTGGTACAATATTTACACGCTTGCGTCTTTTAGCACTATTTTTCAGGCTGTCTGTCAGAGGACCCATTTCAAAGCTATTCTCTGATTGAGTTTGAGATAAGCTGTTTGGGGTGGCACATGAGCTTTCATAGTTATCAGAATTTAAAATGCGGCAACTGCGTTGTAAATCATTATCATTGATTTCTTTCAAATCTCCATGGCTGGAGCATGCATCAGAAGAATTTTCATATATGGGAGATAAATCAATTATTTCTCGGCTACTACTTATAGTAGAAAGAGCTTGGTACCCATTTTTCTGTAAACTCTGAGGTTTTAGATCTGACAACAAATTAATTTCATTGACTTCCTCATCATTTACATCATTGATGATTGGCAAATTTATTTTCATGTTAGATTTAAGCCCTTCCATTGTTGAATGTATAATGCCATTAACAACATGTTCAGAAACTGGTGAAAGTCCATTTTTATACTTTGTAGGCACATCGGTCTCTCCAGCACCCTACAAAGAACACAATAAAATATTATACTTAAATTTGATTTCATTTTAATCGTGTTTTTAAATACATAAAACTAAGCGGGCAAATTAAAAATAAAATAAACTTGTACATATTCAAAACAATATCATTAACCTGACCTACCTGAACTGTTATTATATGATCGACATGTCCGGCAATTGCATTGGGCTTCTTTCCATTACGTTTTTTAGGCAAAATAAATAGTGGTTGTTCAACTTTTGCCATGATAAATTCGTTAGCAAATAGTTTGGTTTACTTTAAAAATATATCAGATGCCAAAATGCCGACTCCTTATTAAATCGTATAAAACTTTTATATCTTTCATTCAAATTTCAAAATGAACCACAATAGTAAGCCAGATCCAATCAATATAGTTTAGTAAGCTTATTTCATATTGTTGTTTTTAGAAAATAAGCATTTTAGAAAATGTAAGAATTATGAAAATTGAAAATTATACCACCATTTTCATTGTTTTTCACGAACTTTTTTGTTTGATGATAATCGGAAACCTATACGAACAAATATTTTTAATATATATTACCGTAATACTACTACTATTTAACATATAAATTATAAAATCTATAGAAGGTTTAGTTCTTGATTTTGTAATTAGTGCCTAAATAAGGTTTGTAAAGTAATTCAATTAATTAATACAATAATATTAATTATAAAAAGTGATTCAGTACGAGTATCAAAAGACTATAGATAAAATAAGGGGCAATAAAGATAAACATCAATGTCATAACTCATATCTTGGAAGAAAGGGCATTTTTTACTAAAATATTTATTCGTTGGTGCATTGTATATTGTGTTTTATATTGGAAGTACTAAATCTATATTCATAAAAATGCTTAAGGTATAATTTTTATTTGATATTATGATATATTATGTCTGCACAACATTTATAAACAAAAACCTAACCTCATAGGGACTCGTGAGTTTGGTTACCGGAGGAGCTTCAGGACTTGGAAAGGCTACAGTGGAGAGGCTTGTACAGAATGGTGGAAAAGTGGTCATTTTAGATATTCAAGGAACAAGAGCACAAGAAGTTGCGAAACGTTTGGGTGAAGATGTTCATGTTACTGTTGGTTGTGTGGGTAAAATTTTTCTTTAGTATTTTTTATTACTTAAACTTTACATTTATTTTACGAAAAATGTAAATATATGATTAATTATTATAAATTTGAGTATTTTACATAATATTGATTGTTTAGTTTTTATGATATATATATATATATATATATATATATATATATATATATATATATATTAAACTAGCATTTCCCGCGGCTCTGCCCGCTTTCAGTTGACCAAAAACCGAATTCTTAGGTTTTACATATTAGTATACTTTTACATTGCAGTTTTTGTATTTTTTCTCAGAAATAAGATATTTTCCTGCAGTAAAAAGTATCCTATATGTTGACCTGGATAACCAGCTATCACCATACTAAATTTCATCAAAATCCCTCCTGTGGTTTTTCCGTAATGCGGTAACAGACAGACAGACAAAAATTCTAAAAACTATAGATTCTATAATAATAATGTATATTTCAATAAGATTTTCCAAAAAATATTTAATGTACTGATTCGGCTTGGTTACAATTTTATCATATGTATAGATCTATATTTATTTTTAGATAACAAAAGAAGAAGATGTTAAGAAAGCTTTGGATGCAGCTAAGTCAAAATTTGGTCGTCTGGACACATTGGTAAATTGTGCAGGATATGCACAAACGAATCAAGTATATAATTTTTATAAGGATAAAGAATGTGAACTTGATTATTTTGCAAAATGTGTTAATGTAAGTTATATATTTGTTCTTTAAATATTATAAATAAATATATTGTTTATTATATAAATTATAATTTGAATGTCATAAGCCTTATGTAATATCATATTTTATGAAATTTTAAATATTTTACAGGTAAATACAATAGGCACATTCAATGTAATAAGGCTTGCAGCTGGATTAATAGGTAAAAATGAGCCTACAGAGGATGGTCAAAGAGGAGTTATAGTTAACACTGCATCAACAATAGCTTATGAAGGTGATATAGGTCAAGCAGGATATGCAGCATCTACAGCAGCTATCATTGGAATGACATTACCTATAGCTAGAGATCTGTCTTCTCAGGGAATAAGAGTCTGTACTATAGCACCAGGTTAGTTGTGTTTTTTAACTTTATATATTTATCTGGGTTCAGTTTCTTACTATTTTTCTAAACTAATACTGTGAAATAAATTTTAGTACTACTATTGTTAATACTTTCTTAGATTTACGCGAATATTTGACATTTTAAATAAACTATCTTTTCGGATTATTTCGTGGATTGATTTTGATTTTTGGTTCCCGACGTTTCGAATGCTTTACAGCATCCATGGTCACGGGAGAGACTGACTACTACTGTTGCTAAATAGATTAAAAAAATTAGTATAACCAAATTCATATTTACATCCATAATCTTAAATGCCTCTTGTGGGATAGAGAGCTTGACATCTATCATCCCTTCTCTCACTCCTATGCTCAACATTCTTTCAATATAAAGGATATTGAGAACCAAGCAATTGGCAAGTAATTACCAACTTTAGTATGATGGAGTATTGTATTTTATCATATTTGACTGCCACGGTGATCTAGTGAGTAGCATATATAGCTGCAGGTCCAGAGGTCCTGAAATTCAAAGAAAAGAAAATTCTCAGTATCAGCTTGGAATTAACAGACACTGAAACGGAGTCGAAGTACAGTTCCATCGGACTTTGAGAGTGACAGGAATAGAGAGTGCACATTGTATCTGCTCCAACACTTGTGTACTATAATATCTCCTGCGTAGTTGGCTAGTCTTAATGAGATTGGCAGCCGTGGCCGAAATTAGTCAGGATGACATTAACATATTTATCTTCAAATTTAAGTAAGATGTCTCATTAGCAACAAAGAACTTACAGCTATATGTTCTAAGTTTGTTTTGACTTTAAATACTATCTCTTATATATTATAAAGCGACTCACCCTCGCTTCGCTCGGGTTCGTCCCTAGCTTGCTTCCCAATACAAACTTTCATCTTCATTTTCGCCCCCTAAGGGATGATTTCCGGGATAAAAACTTTACCTCTTTATAATATTACTATAGCTATCCCAAGAAAAGCATTTGTATAATTAATAAATATAAAAACTTTCAACAAGTTTTAAAGGTCATCTTTAGAATGTAAATTTAATATTTATTTTTACAGGTACATTTGACACTCCACTAGTGTCATACTTACCAGAAAAAATGTTAGAATTTGTCAAACGCATGACCCCCTTTCCTTCACGGTTGGGTAAACCAGAAGAATACGCACACCTTGTGACATGTATAATAGAAAATCCTATGCTAAATGGTGAAGTAATAAGATTAGACGGTGCCCAAAGATGGTTTCCACTTTAAACAGTAACTTATAGGCATAGTTTTATTTATAAGTATAGTTTGTTGATTCCATTAAAGATCTTTGTTATAGTAATGTGTGTTTCATTTTTATATATATTGAGGTATCTATAAAATAATATGTTTTGAATACCAATAACTAGCGACTCATCCTTGCTTTGCTCAGGTTCGTCTCTAGGTACGTTTTGTCGTTTAGTATGGAATAGTTTATTTTTCCAATTTTTTTTTCTTGAATTTTCCCGATGTTTTAATAGTTATTCTGCTATTCGGGGAGAAGACATATCCAACAAAACAAATATCATACAAATCGGTCCAGCAGTTCTCGAGTTATAAGTGTTGTAACAAACCCGACTTTGTTTTATATATTTGGATTATTGTATTTTTTTTGTATCACGCTTGTATTATAAAATTGAAAGTGTGTTTTTGTTACATCTTTACTCTGTACCTTAACGGATTTGAGAGAAAGTGAAATGAGATAAATATATACTGAATTAATACATCAAATGAAATCATTAAGTTGCCATCTCAACATTGTGAATCTATAAGACACAACATTCTAAACGTTTTTTGCCTTTACATATACTATTTTTTGATTATAGTTAACACCTATAATTAAGGTACTACGTACTCTATCTATTCTGTTTTCTGTGTATGTTATAATGTGTTTAGTTCATACTTTGTTTGTGGTCTAAAAAATAATTAAATCTCATCCATCTAGTAATGAGTATATTAAAAAAAACTTGTTTGTTTTTAAATTTAATCATGTAAAATAATGTAAATATAATTATATTCACTCTTATTTTTTTTTTCATTTGAAATTGGCACATGATTTCTCTATAAAAAACTTACTTGATCGATAAAATTTTATACAAAGAGGTTGTTAAATAAAAATCACGATAAAAATAAATAATTATTATATATATATATATCTATATATAAATAAGAATGTTAATTTGTAATAAAATTACGAGTTGATTTTTGGTCCTTCAAAGCCGAACAAGATTCAGAACTTTAACCATACAAGCAATAATAATAAATGATAACATATTTATTTCAATTGGTTTGTCTCGGTCCTATATTTACTGCTCTATCGGAGCGACATTTGTGGCATACAATGCGCATGCGCAGCGGGATGCCGTCTCATGCGTTATTTTATAGCACTTATTATACCCTGCGATGTTACTTGCGTGGTGATCAAATAAAATAAAGTTATTCAAGGATATTTTTCAATAAGTGTAAAAGAATTCGAAAGTAGTTGAGGTAAAAGTACAAATTTATTAATATTGTTGTAAAGTTTTGGTTGCATATTTAGATAAGCACTAAAACTGTTTATTATTTGTGCTACAGTTACATTTAGTATAGTTCATATCAAGTAAATTTCTTAGTTTATTGAGATACTCTGTTTATAGTTTCGCTTGATACATTATTGAAGTAATAGTACAGAGAAGAGATCTCGATTATACCTAAGTACCTATTAATTCTGAGGTGGATATTCTGACACTTGAAGTCAAATTTTGCTTCCAGCATGAAATCATATAACAAATGATGATTCAAACTTTTATAAATTAATTTATACGAAAAAAATTAAAGCGACTTTAAAAAAAAGTACTGAAAATTAAAAATAACTGAATGGGAGTTTTCATTTATTATAGGTACCTAATCATATATTTTCGAAGTCGGTGCCAGCCAGTGCAAAGCAAAGCAAATCTATTTCGATACGTATAAATACATCATAAATAGTATAATATTTTAACTATAGTAATTAGAGTTCATACCTTGTTATATTTACCTATTAGATATTCATATCTTAAAGCTTTGTCGGCTGACACCGACTTGATTAGGTATCTATAGTGAGAGAAAACTCCCATTCATTTAATTTTTACTTTTTAGTATTTTTTGAAGTCGGTTCAATTTTTTTTAATTACTTGTATGATTCGTAATTTTTACTTTTAAGTAAATACTGAAATAGTTTTTGTAATAAGTAGTAATTACAAAACTATTTCAGTTTTAGTGACACGTTTTAGTCCATATCATAAAAACTACAGAACCGATTTTAATAAAATCTTTACTATTTCCCAAGTTGAAATAAATGTAAGCAAATAAAAAAAATCCGATTGCTATTTCGGAGAAATACCTACGTGGAAAAAATCAACACAACAATTACAAACAAACAAACATACATACACCTATAAAGTTTTGTATATTTGTTTAGAAGCTCTAATAGATTATTATATTATTTTACAGTTCCAATAATATTACATACATTGACGTGTAGAATTGATAACCTCCTTTTTTTTGAAGTCGGTTAATAAACTTTGTTTCTTTGCATGATCTAATTTAGAAATAGGTAAAATATTTATTCCATACTTCTGAATTTTTACACAAAATAATACTTACAAGTTACAACTTTAATAATTTTTCTCAAGCTACAGACTTCGTATTTCAAAAGGACCAAATTGCGAAAAATTATATTGTGCTACAGTAAACTTGCTTGGCATGTGAAGTCACGCGATTTTATATGATACCACGAGTAGTTCCTGGCTGTAGCTTTGCAAACATTAATAATAATTTTTATGTTAGATATATGAAATACTGCGTCTCTAAGCAAGACGCTTGTTAGAAAAAAATAGGAAATAATTTTTGTTTTCATATATATGAGACGGTCTTTTGTCAAATTAATTTGCTAAAAAATAAAACTATTACTCGTAGTATTCGAAGTTTATTGCGAACATAATAAATTAAAATAAATCAGTGTTAGAAACTGCGGCCCTTGTTAAAAAACAGCAAATAAATATAAATAAAGGTATCTATTATATATCTCATCCCATTCCATCCATTTTAGAAAATACTATTTTCATACTTTGATTACTAATGCAATGTCATATGATGATACTAAAATTGAATGTCTACAAATTGAAGGTTTCATTTTAAACACTTACAATATACCTCTAACATAATTTACCATTCAGTCCTCAGCTGTATCATTCTGTGTTTTCCTTTGATATTTGAAAAATCAAGTTGCTTTCACTTCTTATCCTCATAATAAGCGTAATAAGAGACGCGTGTAGAAATAAATTGACAAAATTATAATATTGAGTTTTTGATTGGGCTTCATCAAACTTGACAACATTGGTCTAAGTTCAAGGCCATAAAACTGTACAAGAACATTTTATTTTACTAGCATTGCCCGCAGCTCCGCCCGCGTTCAGATGACAAAAAACCAAATTCTTTGGTTTTAGATGTTAGTATACTATTACATTGCAGTATTTGTATTTTTTCTACGAATGTATAACTGTAGACTGTAAGGTTTTATTTCATTATTATATAACAAAATTTAGATATTTTTTATAATTTATTTTATATAGGTACTTTTTTTTTAAATATTTCTTTATTAATTGGCCAATAGAAATGTATTATAAAAAAATGGGCACCATGATTTTTTTTCCACGCTTTTGGTTTGGGCGAGTGACGTCTTCTCGTGGTTAGTGATGATTCATAAATTGGTTGTAATACTAAGAACTGTAAACCTGATGGAATAGAAATATAGAAACACAGTACATCTTAAAGTTTTATTTTTACCCGACTGCAAGGAAAGGATTACTAAAAAAATATATTTTATTTTTAAGTGTTTTCAGTGTTTTAAATTTATTCGGTAAAGTATAGTTTTTAGAAAATTCTAATATTATGAAATAATTTAAGGAAGATATTATTTGCAAATACATAACATAAGACTGAGAATCTTGCATAATTATAATTGTATATTTATTTATTTTTAAAGGCTTACTAACTAAATTTACTTAGTGACATGAATTTAATTCTCTATTATCTATATAAATGACCAAAAAGTATGCACAGCTTTTTATAGAAATATTTTTTTTATATAGTTAGGTACGATTTTAGTTTCCGATTTTGTTTAGCGTACATTTATTAACTTGCAGCCGGAGTTGTTTAGAAGCAATATATTTCTCGCACTACAAAATATTTTACACCGAAGCTACCACTTGAGTTTACTAACCATAAAAAAGATTGTACAATATTTTTAAAGGTAAATTACGTCTGACATAAATATTCATGTAGACCCCACGTAATGTCCGACGCGATGCATCTTTTTATACATATTATAAGCCGTGTTTTGGTCTAGAAAAACATAGTCTACACTCTATAGAAACAAATGGCGGCGATTATGATGTATAATGCACTACTAATATAGTATTTTTATATTCATGTACGTACAAGTTATTATACTTTAAACAATATATTATCTGTAGAGGGTTCAAAATAAATTTTATCTTCATCGAAATCAAGCGACATTGAAACCGAAATGTAAAAAAAGGAGCATCCGTACATTTACTTAGATGTATATTTATTTAGACCTTATTGTTTACATGTTAAAGTTCTTATTTATTTGATCAGGATATATATAATAAGAGAATCGCAGAGTCATCAATCAAAGTTGTCACATGGAACATACAGGAAGGTTGGTATGTCACATTTTGTTATAATCTTTCGGTCTATCGTATGTTTGTATGTATGGCTATGAAATTATACGCATGTGAATGCCTCACACATAACTTTATTTTACACTCTTGCACTGTGTAGGTTTCTTTGCTCTGTCTAGAATAAATATATAGTACCTGGACCACAGTTTTTGGTCAAAAGTACAATTTTCTTTAAAAAAAAAACTAAAAATTTGAAAAAAAAAACAAACATAAATTATACCTTTGTATCCGACCGGGTACAGCAATTCTTGTGTATATATATATATATACACAAGAATTGCTCTTTTAAAGATATAAGATAAAAGCATGATAGGAGGTACTTAATTGTACGTTGTTTACTTTTTTCGTGTATTACGCTTACAATTTTGGCTATCGTGAACAGATTTACGTGGTTCTTTTTTAGGGTTCCGTACCCGAAGGGTGCCAACGGTACCTATTACTAAGCCTTCGCTGTCCGTCCGTCCGTCTGTCAAAGGGTTTATAGGAAAAGCATTAGAGAAA